CTGTTGTCCAGCCACCGCCGCCATTGCAAACAGGGCTCGCAGGATAAGGCACTGGCCATGTCTTGGGCAACAATTGCTCCACGAAGTCACGCAATGAGAAAGAAGGCTGCACGAGAAGATCGACAACGAACTCAGCTCGTGACATAAAATCTTGATCTCGAGAGTGTGGCAGCGGAAGGAACCTGGCGCGCAGCAAGTTCAAGAAACAAATCCTCCCCAGCACAAGGGCCCTTACCTTGCCGTCTTCTCCCCTGACTCGAGAGCAGTCTTCATCCTCTCCCCGGCCTCAAGAAACTGCATGGTCTGCAACCAGGAACATCATCACATGGAACCCCGCCTCCCCTCCAAATGCAAAGCTGACCGCGAACACCACAGCGCGTGCAAAATCGGCGGCACATCTCAAATAGTGGGAAAACAGCAATGCCTCCATCAAGTTCGCCAACGTGTACCTCTGCCCACCTCTGGCTCGCCCTTGGCGGGCAGGGCGGGCAGGAGCAGCGCCATGACCGGCACGCACCAGGTCAAGATTCAGAGCCACATGGCTGTCATCCATGAGCAAAGCAGGGGCCGGGGATTGACTGCGGCGGTCGCCGGTCGGGAGTCGGGTTAAGTCGGGCTGCCGGGTTTGGTGTGCGTGGACACAACAATGGATTCAATCCCCGAAAGCCAACTCCCAGTTCTCAAACATGTGACTGATTATCAAGGGTCTGATGGGACATCGAGCCAAGGATCTGGAAGAAAATCGCGAAGCATCATCGCAAGGACATTGATACAAGTTTGCACAAAGAGAATATATACATTATACATCAGTCTTGTGGCATCGTGCTAGGCTGTTCTACCGTAGACTCCGTCGACAGTGTGTTCTGCTGATTGACAACTTACAACACCACTACTCTTGCTCAACAAACAACTCCAAACAATGACCAGCCAGGTCCCCAGGTAACCTGCTGACAAAACCGCCTTTGTTACTCGTATGGACTTCTGAGCGGGCTCCAGGTCCAACAAAAACTAAGTTAGCCCGAAGTTCCCGAAGCTTCCACAGCCTCCAAAGGATGAAGGCCCCCCAGCAAGGGAAGTTGCTAAGTTGTTGCAAACCATGTCTTGCACTGGCGCCAACAGAACCCAGTGCCAAACATCTAACATGCAATTCGGATCGATCTGCCACAAAAAGAATCATGTGTGCATCCCATAGGGAAAACGAATGCATCTGACAAGCAGCGCACAAACTTGGCAAAAACCGAATCACTGCTGAAAGCGCACTAGACACAAGCATGATGGCAAGGAATATCAAAAACCATACGTCAAGTAATGTACAGTACAGCTTCGCACATTGTTTTACTCCATTATTCCATCCACACATCAAAGTGAACAATACCACCGCCAACAGCCGTCTGGAGTTCAATATGGGCTCCGAGTCGAGTTCACTTCCCTGACGAGTCACACTTCTCGACCATGACGATGCCATCGCTTCCAAACTTGATGTTCATCAACCCGTCATCGTCGCGGGAGCAATGGGTGAGAGTTCCACCCTCCTCAAAGTCGATGTGGCGAAACACAACACCCTCAGGCTCCTTAGGCTCAAACTCAAGCCTGGCGGCGGGCCCAGACTCAGGCTTGGTTTTCTTGAGGAAACCGGCATCACTGCCATCACTGCCAGCACCGCTACCGCTGCCACTACTCATGGCAAACAGGGGGTTGCGTGACGCCTGCAGGCAGCCCCTCGACGTGGACGTGGCTCCGTGGCTGCAGGCTCCCACACATCTCTGTCTCAGTTGTCTCAAGGCCAGACTTGACTGAACCAGCATATTTGCCCTCCTAAACATCGGTTTGCTTCTGCAAGTTGCTGAATCATCAAACATGTAACACGTGAAACCAACATTTTGCAAGGGATCGAACGTTTGCTGCGTTGCATCTTGCATCATGCATCTCATGAGATCCTTTAGACACCACAAAATAATATGATGTCACCAGGTGTGATTTGAAATTTGAAAAGCGCAATGTGTTCTGATGACACCATGATGACGCCATGCACACTGACGTCAGACCTCGTCCAAAAACCCATACATCGGACGCAGTTGCGTGCGCAGCAATCTGAAAGAACACCAAGATGCCCCATGGTGTTCTGAAAACCGCCAAAAACATATACAAATATAAATTTACCTTCAGAACCAACCCGCCCTGACCCACGAAATTTGATACACTACGTTGACTGGGATGCTGCGTGGCCGATTTCAGCATCAACGGCCATTGGACTTCGATGAGGATTACTTCGTCGATGTGCAACAAGTTCAACAGGTTCAACAGGAAGACCCGGAGCAACAGCGGGTACAAGACGCTGTTGAAGATCTTCGTTTGTGACCCAAAATGCAGATTCACTGTCCTCGCGATCAAGCATCCTTCGGCCGCTGAAAACAACCAGGAGTGGGTTGTCATCAAGGTTCGTGCTAGCCAAGGACACGCCAGCAGCGTCAATGCTGATGGCGACATCAGCCGAAACCAGTACGCCCTTGCGAAGGCCGTCTTCGGGAAATTCCTCCCGGAGGATGCTCGCAGGGATGGACTGCAGCTTTCGCTGATGACTGATGCTCCCGGCAAGCTGTATCATCGAACCAGCAAGGCCGCGGCTGACAACATCGTGAGGACGGGAGTCATTCCGGGCGGAGTTGGAGCAACCGAGAGCGGGCGTGCGCAGAGCCACTTCTCTATTCACCCCGTCGAAAGCTCCGCCTACAATGCAGGGGTTCGTGCCTCCATGCCGATCGAGCTCGTCGTTGATTTCAAATACGCGATTGAGCTCGGGGTTGTGTCTTTTCCTTTCTGAATCTGACGTCATGTTGACCTCCGACATTGTCCCCAATGATGCCATCTTGTATTACTCGGATGCGCAGACCGGCGAGGTGCTTTGGAGAAATGCTCTTCGCCTAGAAGCATTGGAAAGTCAGACAACTGTCGAATCGCTCGCCGCCAGGCGAGCCGTCATCGTGACAGCAGATGAGGCCTTCCAGACCGACAAGGAGGGAAAGAGGGCCAAGAACCCCGAAGACATGGCTGCAACTCGCCCGGGGCAACCCGAGGCCGATTCATCAGCCGTCAGATTCAAGACCTTTGCCATGCCCGTCAACTACACGGACTGCAGCGCTTGCGGTGAGGACATGATGCAAGGGCAGTTGAAGTGCCAGCGTTGCGGGCATGGCACAAAGGAGAGCAATGACGTTCAGCTTTTCAGAGCTGCAAAGCGGAGAACGCAAATGCTCGAGGAAGTGTGTCACCGCGTTGGCAAATCTGTTGATCAGCTCCTCATCAACGATTTCAAGGGTTACACGGATGTTGCAAAGCGAGGAGCAACATCTTTCGAGGCAAAGCAGATCGAAGCCTCGAAGAATTACGACAGCAGAGCAAGGAAGTTGGGGTACGAGAATGTGGTGGACAGGTTTGACAAGGACGCGACGTTCGCCCTCCGGATGGTTGGTCAGGGCCACAACCGCGAGAGCTTGTACCAGATGTCCATCTTCCGTTTCTGCGTGCTCCCGGAGTTCCCCCGAAGCTATGATCAGAGGCTATTGGGGGTTGGGCCCGGGTATGGAAAGAGAGGACACCACTACGTCAGAACTGTCTACGTCACCGGTGGCCAGGTCGGAGATTATGATACCAACCTGAACTCCTTTCCATGGCTCTTCTCGTACAACGGGAAGATGTTGAGCCTTGCTCAATGTGTCGCCCAGGTGAACATCCTCCCGGGGATGAGAAACCTTGTCACGTTCGGCGGACAGTTTCCTACGCTCCGGGCAACCGGAGCCGAGGGCCTTGAAGCTGAGATCAAAGAGATCTGTGACAGAGCAGAGGGCGATGCAAAAAGGCTTGCTCAGCGCAGCCGAAAGCAGAGCGCTGAAGACCGTGCCCGTGGACACACCCAGCCAGCATCCAGCTCCACTACAGCACGCAGGAGCCGCAGTTGGAGGGACTGGAGTGGTCGCGACTGGAGCGACCGCGCCTGGAGCAGCTGGGAATGGACATCCTGGAGTTCGCGTGGCTGGTCGACCCTCGGGAGATGGTGAATGCATTCAACACCATAAAGGAGCACCTCTGAGACCGACAGTAGCCGTGTATTGGCGCGATGGATGTGTAACGTCCATTTTCAACGTGCCATGGATGAGTGTCAAACCAAAAAGCGGGTTGCAAAACCTGCCGACATTTTCGTTGCTGTACAATCTCAAATGAGGGGGGTGTGGATTCAGGTTCCAACCCTGTGCATGTATATGCTCCGCCCGCTATAGACTTCAAGATCACTGACAGCAGTGTGAAAAGGTAGTCAACGGTTTGCTGCTTGCCTAGGTATTCCGTTAGGTGGCCTAGGCTTAATAACACAATTTACAACAGCTTCTTTCGGGCTTCGTTTTTTGATGGTGCCCTTTTCAGGTTTTTCAAGGGAGACCAAAAGGAAAAACAGCAGGTTTTTGGGGTCGCCTATTTGGACACCCTTTCGGCTCCTGCTGGTTAACTTGCATGTTGCGGACGGTGTTTCTCTCTCGGCATCCGCTTTTTGGGCCATCGCAGCATGCACAGTTAGTCTTGCATAACTCTGACATTGCAAACATGTTGGCGCCCACATAAATGAACAGAGACATTTGTGAATGCAAGATTCTTTAGGATTTGCGGTAATTATCCAGCGGATGCGCGAATGCGTGATTGCGTGCGTGCGTGATTGCTTGCTTGCTTGCCTGCCAGCCTGCTTGCTTGGACAAATCATTTCTGGGCTTGGCAATGGTGCAGTGCTGTTGCAGTGCCTTGACAAACCAGGTTGGCACTAGCACACAGCGTGCTGGTCTCCTTTAACATGGGCTTGCAGATTGGATGCGTTCCCATTTGAAAGATTTGTTCTTTTCGGTTAGCAAGCCATTTGTTTCTGCCGGCAACATGTTGGAATCCACACCAGGACGGCGCAGCCTTTGCTGCACACCCGCGGTGCAGGGAGCAGCGGATCGCAGCGGCTGTCGGCACCCATGGCTGCATTTGAGCTTGAGGAGCTGCCCACGGCATTTGCGAAGTTGGGGGGACATCAGAAATCAGGCCCCAGGTACTAAACCAGGATGTGTTGCAGTTTGAATGCTCCATTTGATTCCACAAATTGCACGCTTTCAGCACTCTTTGGAGAGCATCCGGTGGATTCGGCATCCAAAGTGTCACCTGGACTTTGGCCATCAGAGGTGACTGCCAGGTGCTGAGCGGCGGCTTCATGTCCGCAGCGCAGGCTGCAGCAGATGATACCTCGCGGGCGCCCGACTGTGTGGTGGAGTTTCACATGGACAGCACCCGGGTGGGGCGAAGGGATCAAAGGATGAAAGGATGAAAGGATGAAAGGATGGCTCGTTTTGAGGTCAAGCAAAGAATGTAGCAAAGCTGACAAACAGCCAAATTCGGAGAGGCAGGCACACTTGGAGATAAACGGAAATCAAAGGGTAGCCCCTGCAATTGTGCGTGAGAACGCTTGGTGGTTAAGCCTTGTTCGCTTTTTTGCAGGAGCCACCCTTCACCGTGCGCTTTGGCGCCTTTCCCCCAAAAGACGACACCTCGCGGCTCTACAGCTGGTCGGTTGCACCTAGCGTCCCACCCACCCACCCCGGTCAAGGTGCTTCCTGAGACACATGTGAACCGTCATTGAGCGAGCCCCGCTTCGCGCATGACTGTCCTTGGTCATGGAGGGGATGAGGGATGAGGAGAAGGGACATGGATACGGCTCAGGCAAAGTTCACTCCATCGGCCCGGATGGGCACCACCGGGCAGTGCTGCTGGGCCTTCCCTCTAACTGCGCCCATGACACGGTGGGCGCCGAGCTGCGAGCGCCGCAGGGGATGCAGGAAGCTCAGCCTCTGCAAAGCAGCAACAGGCAGAAGGTTTGAGGTGCAGATGGCTGGTAGGCTGGTAGGATTGTCGGGGATTGAGGTGTGTCTCCTGCTTGGCAACTTACAGCTCAAGCCTTCCAGCCCCAAAGCTGTCAGGCGCGAGCAGCTGCCCTTCAAGTGCAGCCTTTTTCGGCGCACCATTGAACGGGGCCGCCTCTTTGGGGGCGGAAGCAAAGCAGTGGAAGAGGCGCAAGTCCGGCAACCAATGACCTTTAGCATCCCAACGGGATCTTGTGTAGGTTCTTGCTTTATTTGCTTCGTCGCCCCAATTTTCAAATCTTGGTGCAGGCCCTTGCGGCGATCCTGGATTCCAGAGAGCCGACTGCAGCAGCGGCGGCGCTGCGGTGCCTATTAATGGCACCAAGCTCAGCGCGTTGTGCTTTGCAGGATTTCGTTGAACAGCTGGGCGCCGTGGTGCCTCAAAAGGCTACTGCCACTTTGGCTAACATCTAAAGCAAAAGTGGTCCTTTTCAACAGGATATTGCCTACAACTGCATAGAAAGGGCCTCTGGAAATTATACCCTTGGACAGATGTCTTGTCAAAGGTCATGCTGGACGCAGTCCGCCTGTGGCTGCCGCGGCCGGAGCACCTCAGCTTCAGCAGCCTGGCAATGTGCCGCGGCATGCAGTGGAAAGAGCTGGGCATGTGTCTGAATATGTTATGTGTGTTTGTTTTTTTTTTTGGGGGGGGGCGGTGGGATTGGTGGAAGGGGGCAAATTTGGGGAAGGTTGCCTTGTTTCTTTTCAAAGTGTGTGCTTGTTTGTTGTTTGTGTTTGTTTGGGGGGGGGGGGGGGTGGGGGTGGGGATTGGTGGAAGGGGGCGAATTTGGGGAAGGTTCTACCCACGTAGAATGTCGAGATCCAGTTTAATCGGGACGGCCACCACAAATAGCACTCTTGATAGGGGAGCCAAGGCTAAAACGCTTTTGTTAGAGCCGTACTGCGTGTACAAAATATTGTACTAGTCGGGAGGGATGAAACCAATTGAATTCCGAATAATCCACCTGGTTCGAAACGGGTTGTGTCCATCCACTGTATGTCAAAGCCTTTGCTTTCCCTGGCGGCTTAAGGTAGGTCAAAACCCAAGACACGCATTCACAGGGAAACAGGCACACTCTATTGGGGCAAATTCCATGAAAGTCGTCATGATTAAGGTTCGCCCGGAAAATGTCCAAGCTGGGGGCCCGTCAATGCTTTGGGATCCTCACATTGCGGAGGTGACTCAGAGCCTTGGAGAGGGTTGCTTTTGGCCGTGCGGGTGCCCGCGAACCATCTAGCATGGAAACTGAATAAACCTTTCTTAAGAATCATGTTCATCTTAAATTATTAAAGCCTTCTAGGTGTGGTCGGTCAACTAAACCTTCTTTTGGCCTGACGCTACCACTAGAGCGACCTCAAAAAGACAGTTGAACGGGAAGCCGCCATTTGGGGCACTCAAGAGATCCACCCGGGTGCCTCAGTTCCAAGAAGAAACCTTCGCCCGGTCCCCAGGTTTGCGGTTCTCGCCGCTGCAATCCCCTGGCGCCCACCTGCCGCCTTCCGCGCACAGCTGCTGCGCACTGCGCTGGCGGCCCAGGCTGCGGACCAGCCCCGGCCGAAGCCTTGGCTGGGGGGCGGGGGGCCAAACGGAAACCAACTAGACAAGGTCAAATCGGGTCTCTGATTTTGAGAAGCACGCATCTCCGAAGTTGTTCGAACACAATCCGCAAGACACTTATTAGGCAGGCAGTAGTTGCCCTCGTTGTAGTGATGTCCTGCGCTTTGGCGCAGGCTTCAGCGCGGAGCCCCATGGCCGCTGCAGCCTACGGCTCGAGAAGATGGTGTCAAGAGTCACACACACGCAAAGCATTAACTTTCAGCAGCTCACGGTCTCGCACAGCGAAGCAGTGCATAGCAGTGCTGTCAGAGCCACGTGCAGTTTCCCTTTGGCTTTGCGCTCCACACGCCATGGCCAAAGAGCCGTTTGAGCTGCAGATTTTGCAGCCCGACGACTTCCACCACCACTTCCGCGATGAGCCCTACCTAGAGCACACGGTGCAGCTCGGATGCGGTTGGAACATGTGTTTGAAGCTGCCGGAAAAATCCAAGGCTTTGCCAACTGGCATCCTCAGCATGGGCCTTGAAAAGGCTAGGGTTTAGCATGGCGGCAAATATGCCGTTCAACTGCTGGCTGAAATCAATGAGAAATCCAGTGCTGCAAGCCATAAATGCCTATTGCCCGTTTCCTAGCTTCTCAATAAATGTGTGCAACGGTTTGTTGTGTACATGTGAGAGGACAGGAGGGCCAATACCAAAATTGGCTTTATTTGCAAATTTCGTCCAACTCGGGAAGCTGGTTTCAACCCTTGGTTCGGCCAACGTCTAAATTGGTAATTTGTCCATTGTGAGTTTAAGCTTCCATCTGTAGCCCCTGGGGGGGGGTTGTGTCCTCTCCTTTCCTCCCTTTCACCTCAAACCACACACTAAGTGGTCGGGCTGACAGCTGAGGCCCTATGCGGCTGCGGCCTTTTGCCGGGTGCTGGTCATGCCGAATTTGGTGCCGCCGGTCACCACCACGGAGGCGGCGCTGGCATACCGCGCCCGGATCCTGCAGCGACTCCCCAAACATGCGGCTTGGACGGTTCGTGGGAGGGGGGTGCCCCGGGTTTGAAATCCCGTACCTCCATGTGGGCTGAAAAAACAACCCCGCGCCTTTTCGTTATGTAAGGGGCCGTCTCTTAACTTGTTTCGCAGGCCAAAACCATTGTAAACCGATACAGAGGGGGAAAAAAAAACGATACCCCCAGAAGCCATGAAGACACACATCAGGTCCTAGTTGTTGTCGCAAACCAAGATTGCGGAATCATAAATTTGCAGGGCCCAAACCGATACCCAAACCGATACCCAACCGATACCCAACTCATTGGCCGCCATGCCGAATCCAACCAGCTGCCCTGCAGCCTTCTCTGGAGCTGCCAACATGCACTTTGTGTACTACATGTGTACTGAAAAGTTGCGACTTTCGCTGTGGAGCTGCCAAAATGTACTTCGTATACTACACCATACTACACTTGCTTGCACTGAAAAGCTGCGACTTTCGAGCCGGAGCTGCCAAAGTGTACTGCGCATACTACTGAAAAGTTGCTACTTTCCAGCTGGAGCTGCCAAAATGTACTTTGTGTACTGCACTTGTACTGAAAAGTTGCGACTTTCCAGCTGGAGCTGGGAGCTGGCAGAGTGTACTTTGCATACTACACTTGTACGGAAAAGTCGCGACTTTCGAGCCAGAGCTGCCAAAACACTGCAAACCGATGCAGAGGAAAAAAAAATCCGATACTGACCGATACTGAGGCATAAGGATACAAGGGTTGTCCACGGTTTTTTTTCAGCCCATGTGAGCTTTTGGTGCGTGCAATCCAGAGCAGAGTCCCTGGTTGGATGACACCACAGGTTGACCCGTGGTTGAACATTTGGGGGTTGAAGTGAAGCGAACTGGGAATGCACAACCTGGTTCGGGGAGCAGAAGGCCTCATTTCGGCTGTGGCATTCTTGCGAGCTCCGGAGCGCCCAGGTGAGGCCTGGAGACTTTGTGCCTCTGATGACGCGCCCTGGTCTGAGGGGCTGAAGGCGCCCAAGGAGATTTGGCTTCTGAAGTATGCCTGGGTCGGCCTGGACTCCCACTTGTCGGTTGCAACATCTACAGTTTTAGCTGAAGGCCCACTGAAGGCATCAGCAAACTGAAAAAAAACACTTGAGTCAGGGGCATGAAAAGGGGGACAGTGGAAAGTAAGATAGCGGACACCCTGATAATATTTTGAGAACTGTCATAGATAAATCTAGCTAGAGAGCTCGAAGAGTGCGGTTGCATGGAGATCCAGCACAGAGAAACGCGCATACATAAACTTGTGGGGAGAATCTTGCACAGAAAAGTTGCATCGATAAACTTACGCAGGTAAATAACTTGCACAGGGAGCTTGCATTCCGAAAGTTGCATAGACAAGTTGCATCGAGAAGCTTGGGTGGATAATTTGCAGCATAGGCAACCTTCATAGCCAGCTCGCACACTTAGACAACACGCACAGACAGGTTTGCATAGATAAGCTTGCACACAGAAGCTTGCGTGGATGAATTGCATAGACAAAGTTGGTGAACATTATTGCAGAATAAGAGAGCTCACATAGACAGCTTGTGCAGAGACATTTGCCATTCAGATGATTGTAGCTGACCAAAAGCACTGCGCCGGATTGCAACCCAGCGAGTGGAGAATGCTATGTTATGGGACGGCGACCCACTCCCAGCATACCTTGAACCCCTACAGCATAAGAGAAAGAGCCCCCTAATTGAAGATATCATTCATCTACTTTGCTCATGGAACTCCCGCAATTGTGCTTGGCCCTCCACTCACAGCTTCCCGGCGCCCAGAGGCTCTACCTGACGGACAAAACGTCGCCAGCGGAGATTGAGAAGGCCAAGCAGAGTGGCCACGTTTATGCAGTGAAGCTGTACCCAGCTGGGGCGACCACAAACTCGGACTTCGGCGTGACTGATTATGCCTTTGGGTTGCAAGTGTGTTTTGCTTCGGACGGGCAGTTTTTGCTTCGACCATATGGTGAGCTCGGATGAGCTCCGGTGAAGGACTCCAACTGGACATGAGGCGCCAGTGAAGTGCCAGCAAGTCAGTTGAAGCTCTCAACTGGTTGCCTGGAAGCGAAGTTGCATCCGTCTCAGGAGCTCATTATGCCCGCACTGCAGAAGATGGAGCAGGTGGGGCTGCTGCTCCTCGTGCATGGAGAGTCCACGGACCAATCCGTGGACGTCTTTGAGCGCGAGCAGAGCTTCTACGAGACCGTCATGCCAATGAGCCTCAGCTGCCGGGGTTTGGGGTTTTGTCATCATGCTCCCGTCCGTTTCTCGCCGTTTGTCATGTTGGTGCTGAATGTTCACATGTGTTTATTGAATGCCATCGTTGTTCAAGGTCCATGTTCTAAGCAAGCAAGAACCAAGTGTGTGCGAATAATTGAGCTTAGCAGGATAGAAGCATACCAGCACTACATGCATCCATCTGGGCAACATGCCGTGGACCTCTTTGTGCCATTGCGAGGATCCTGGGCAGATGCCCCAAGCTGCGGGTGGTATGCGAACACATCACCTCCGCAGCTGCGGCAACCTTTGTGGAGAAGGCACCCTTTCCAGGTTGGTTTTAAAGCGAAACCCTATTTTTGGGGGTTCCCTATTTTGACACAACCCAAATGTCTTCTTTTTGCCCCCTTTCTGTAGAAGGGTTATGCCATGAGTCCTGGGTAAAGGCGGCCGTATCGAGCGGAGACCCCAACATGGTTTGTTTTCTGGTGGTTTGCCATGGATTTCCCTTTAAGCGACCAAACAAGGGAACCCGGAAGTATTAATAAAGACGCCTACACATGGGCTGGGCTTAAAAGGCACCAACATGAATTGGCACTTCGGGACTTGCGTTGACCCTGCAAGACTTCAAGCAAATCTCGCTCGATAGGGTTGCCAGCCCCACAATGCCAATACAAAGGCCGTGATACTTTGGCTGGCTTTGCTTCTATGGCAGTGCCAGGCTGGACCGTTGGTTGGGGCGACCATCACGGCCCACCACCTCTGCCACAATCGCAATGAAGCTGGTCTGCAGCCGTTGTGTGTTCTCCTCGCATCGCTTTTTTGCCAGCCACGCTTTCAAGTAATGGCAGAATTCTGGAACCCGAATTCTGCCAAACGGCCACGAATCGCTTCGGCAGAACTTGAGCTTCAGGCAAGTTGAAATCAATTGGCATGGCGTGCTTGAAAACCTTGAGTCCAACCGACTGAAGGCAGGAAGGCTAAAAGCCCAGCCCCAAAGTGATTCTCATTTTGGCATAGCCATTGAAAGTTGCCTTTGAGGCGCTGTTCAAGGGCGGGATCAACCCGCACTATTACTGCTTGCCCATCCTGAAGACCGAGCCTGACCGACAGAAGCTTCTGCAATGCGCAGTGGACAATCCCAAGTTCTTCTTGGGCACCGACTCTGCGCCACACTCCCTTGACAAGAAAGAGTGTGCATGTGGATGTGCTGGATGCTTTACCGCGCACATGAGCATTGAGCTGGTTGCTGAAGCCTTTGAAGCTTGGCTTGACCGGGGTCCTGCCAAAAATCTGCCAAATGAAGCCAGGTGGTTGCTCGGCCAACAAACGACAAATGTCAAACGTTTGTCAACCTGGCAGCTGTTTCTCGCGTTCGTCGAGCCAGTGACCATTTGCATTGGCCAGTCGCATTCGGACTAGATTTTCAGAGTCAGAACCGGGCTACCTCAAACGTTTACTAGTGACAGGAGCTCATGAAGTTGCTCCGGGCTTGTTCTGTTCCTGCTTCCTGCAGCAGCACTTCTGGCACCCAGAGCACAGGCCAAGGGTGCAGTATTGATTTGCAGCACGGTTTGGTTGATGCCTGACCGCGTTGCAACAGTGGCAAGCGATAGACTCGGGGCCTTTGGAAAGCAACTAAAGTATAGGCTATCAAACAAGGCAAGAGACCACCAAGCCAGATGCCTCAGTTCATTCCCGTTCCATTCTTAGCCAAGCTTTGACCTTGAGCTCGTTGGCCATCGCCTTGGGCCATCCCTTCCTCCCGTTCAAAACGTCTGAGGAGTCGGTGGGTCGACTGGACGCCCTCGAGGCCTTCGTGGCGCAGCGGGGGGCCGCTTTCTATGGGCTGCCGCAGGCGCAGGGCACGCGGGTGTTGACCCGGGAGAATTGGAAGGCGCGGTTTTGCCGGGAGACAGAGGAGAGGGGGGAGGGGGAAGGCGAACGTGAGTGGCAGAAGATGAGTCTGTCATTTGTGCGGTGTGCGCTATGGATTGCTTATCTTCACTTGAGGTTGAGCGTGTGTCAGTGCCAGGTCTAGGGCGGCATGCGCTTGGCTTTGTTCCAGAGTGTTGATATGGCAAAGTTGGACGAACTTGGTTTCGGGGCGATCCAGCATTCACTTACCCTTTCGTGATTTCTTGTTGTCCCCACTGCTTTGCTATTTCAGGCTTGCAGCTTCTGGCTTGCACGTCACAACTTTTTTCTGGGTTTCACTTGCTTGTGCTTTCACCTGGGCAGGTGCCAGACAATTACCCTTTTGGCGACAAGCTGCTCAGATGCAGCAAAGCCGTGCCGCAAAGCCCGACATGTGTGTTTGAGAGATCGCACCCAGGAGAAATCTACCAACGCAACCACACTTGAAAGATCATGACCAAGACGTAAGCAACGCTGGAGCCAGACAAAAGCACGAGATTTGTCGCACACAGTTGACATACTAGGGGACACCTTGTGACGCATCACAAATGTCTCACATGCCAGGCGACAATAGGGAAAGTCATGCGTCATCCCTGCACTGAGCTTGCTTGGATGGCCCCAGAAATGAGGCTGGTTCGACCTCTCCGTGCCGGAGAAGAAGCCAAGTGGAAGCTACAGCCAAAACTGTGAGGCAAGTTCTTGGCATCAGGGCAAAAATTTGAGGTTGTTGGACCCCTACTGGGTATCAGAAATACTCGGGAATTTGTGTCCACCAACCATGTTGAAGGCGTTCTAGCCATGAATCCGGAAGCCCACGTGGTGAAACGGACAGTGGGCACGGAAGCCATGTGAGTGCGCTTGGCAGGACTTGCAGCGATGGAGAAAAGGTGAATCGTGAGTGCTTCGCGTGCGTTCAAGAGCCACACTCAGCTACAAGCAAGCTTAAGCAAGCTTGATGATGCAGATCATGCCATTCCTACAGCACATGTTGATGAACAAACTGTGCAAGCCCCACAACTCTTCTTCACCTCCTTGATGATCCCCAAGGTCCAACTTAGGATTTTGGTCTTTCACGTTTGATTTACAATGTGTACTCGCAACAAAATAACCAGATTGAACTTCAGGGGGGGGGGCGGAGGTTGCTGTCAAACTCTTGGTTTGATGAAGTTGCTCACCTGTGCTAAATCACAGATTCCTCTCAAAATTATATTTTTGATGTCTGATTTGGATGCGGGCTTGCCCCACGTATCATGCAAGCTCTAGCTTCACTTTGGCTTGCACTTGCAATCCATATCAGGTTTGGCGTGCTGTGTCGCCAAGAAGCTGCGGAATGCAGACTCATTGCCAGGGTCCAATGTAATTGATTGGCGCCGTGCTCGACCTTTTTTTGTTTGGGGTGGGGGGTGCGGGTTGCACACACGGCCAAGTACTTGTTTGCTGTAAATTGTTTGCTTGCTGCACGGCTTGCTGCATCCCAGTCCGCTATAGGTCCTACATGCGATGGCAGACTTGGCGTCAGCCCACCACCAGTGATGACGGCCGCCTGGACTGGCGGATTGGGCTCCCACCAGCAGAAGCGTCATATGGCAGAAGTGACGTCAATGCAACCTGCTATTTGGCTGATACCATGTGTTACTTGGCTTCAGGGACAGGAGTTCAGGTTTCTTTGCTGGCCTCGGCTGACTAGCCTGCCTGCCTGCATTCCTGCTGGTGAGTGAGTATTTAGTTGATTCCCATCCATATCAGCTTATCACCCTCATTGGCCTTGACTTGGCAGTCCCGATTTCTCATTATGTGTGACAGGAGCTGGCATCTGGGGAGGCCGAGCTCCGAGACGCCTTGCGCCTGCTGTCCCGGGGCTTTCTTTGCTTGGCCGCCAGCGAGGCTCGGGAGCTGCACTTTTTTCATTGGGCTTTGCAAGCCCAATGCAGCAAATGTTGGAGATTCGTCTTCGCGGGTTGCATTCGGGTTGCAGAGGCGCACGTACGTGACAATCCCACGTCGGATATTTCCCTTCAAGGGACATAGCTGTGCTGCATTACTTTGTGGGAATTGGACTCAAAAGTTCCTCAATGCATCGCAGGCATGTTACCGTGTGTATCCTTTTCTTTGATACTGCATAGCCAACAGCAAGCAAGCCAAGTGAATGTAGAGGACATGAGCAACAATTTGCGGTAGAGCTTAAATTTGATCAGCACCTGAGGCAGATATGGTCGCGCGTGCCTCGGCCAACCACAACCCAGTGTGGAGCACTGGACTTTCCGCACTGGGACGCAAGAGGCCACTTGTATTTTCGAGGCACTTTCTGCTCATGTTCATTGTTTGGTCAGCCAAGGTTACGCAGATGTGATGGTGAATCGTGGGGGTTTGCCGCTGTATCAACTTCCGGTTGCCCAGCCAGAGGTGGAGGACCAGTCAGCTTGCAACTTTGATTGTTTCTCGCTGGTTGATGTGCCGCCTGCTTTGTCCCCATCTCCAGCCACCTTTTCGCTAGCTTGCGTCCTGAAACTTCTTCCAGGGTTACCGCAAGGGCTGCAAGGGGCATGGCCGAGAGGGGGCAGCTGCCTCCAGGCAGCATCTTACCGCTGATGAGTCGCTTTTCTTGCCAGGAGACTCTTCCTTCAGACTACCAAGTTGCAGCTGTAGCTGGGCTGAGTGCTTGGGCAGGTTGTCAGTGTGGTACTGCCTCAGCATGGAGTTTCCTCATCCTTAGCCAAATGCAGGAGTATTGGCATGAGGATTGGAGCAGACCCACGCTGTTTTCCCCCAGCACACAATTCTTTAGAAGCTCGGTTGTAAGACATAACATTTTTTTGCCCCGAGACAGCGCGTGGCTGTTTGATCCAGCGAGGTGGATTGCAGCGTCCTGCCGTTGTTGCCGCTTCACCTCCAGGCAGTGCTGGCAAAGCCACCGCTGTGCCAGAGCACAAACTTGAAGGACGCGACCTTGTGGCATGACAATCGCCAACTCATCTAAGGGCTCAACGACAATGCGGGCGGCATGGCATGCAAAACTGCACAGCGGATCGGGAAGATAGTCTTAGCAAGTTGCGGCGGCGTGCATGGACGGTTATGCTTATTTAAACCTCAACGAGGATGGACGAATGATTTGGGCTCAAGAGCAGTTAATCCGTCCCCCAAGATGTATTTGCTGTCACTTAGCCTAGAAGTTGGTTGTAGCTAGTTAGGATCCACTGCCCTGCAGGATTTACACTTGCGGAATCTCCGATTCTTCGTTGATCAGCCGCTCGTTCCGCAAGAGCTCTGGAGTAGCGTGGTGCGAGCCAAAGACCAGGCCACTGTGCGCGGATCAGGGTTTGCCACGTTACCGGTGGGGTTTCGGACTGGGCGTGCCCAACTGTACGGCTTCTGCAATGCGAAGGACGCAGTTCAACATCCGCCACCAGAAGGACCTCAAGCTGAGAGGCAGGATTGATTTGCGTGGAAATGTTATTTATTATTTGTTTGTCATGGCTTTGCTAGCACCTCAGGCGGGTTTATTGAAGCTGGAGATATGGAGCGTATTGTCAACTACATGGACGAGGAGAGGCAACGAACAACCATCACATCCATCATGTGCGTACTATATCAATACATTTATTTGTATATACATATCGATATATATATATATATATACACTATTTTGGACTCTGTCGTTATGGCATGTCCCCCAGGTGGCAAAAGCACCACATAGCACCACCCAGTTCCTTTCCACGAGCGGCCCATTTTAATTTGGCCAGGTCCATCAAAGTGACAGCGGTTGTATCGGAAGCCACCCCCAGGAGTGATTTTGAGAAATTGTTTGCCTTGGGGGGGGGAGTTTGGTCGGCCGGTGGGGGGGGGGGGAGTGGGTCCCAGTTTGGCGCTCCTACTCTGCTTTTTGCTCCTGCCGCGCAAGGAGCACTTCGCGGCGGGCCGGGACCTCGCAGAGGCGCGGGCGCTGCCGGAGGATGCGGAGCTGGGGCCCTGCAATGGGTCACCGCCCTTCGAGGGGGAGGAAGAGCAGCCTGCCTCACTCCTAGACGTTGACCCAGGATTAACAGCCCCAAATTGATTAACAGGGGATGTCCAATTTTGGAGGGATCCGGGATCCTTGTTTTAGTTTGCCCGTCCCCTCACCGCAGAAGTTTTCAGGGCCCGAAGTACATGTTTTTGCCCTGTGGGGTTCGTGGCTTTTCTCTCTGATTGGGGCTGACGCCAAAAAATCACATGTGCGAAAGCGAAACCAGCAGCTCCAGTTTGCCATCCTAACTTGCAAGTACATCATGACCGCCGCCGCCGCCATCATCATCATCATCATCATCATCATCATCATCATCATCATCATCATCGTCATCATCATCGTCAGCGTCAGCACCACCGTCAGCACCCTCGTTGGTGGTGGTGGTGGTGGCGGTGGCGGTGGCGGTGGTGCTGACGGTGTGCTGGCGGTGGTGCTGAGGGGGGCGGGATGCCCTTTTGGAGGAATTGTTCAAAGTGGAAATCAACTGAAGAAATGCCAAAAAAAGAGTCTTCTACTTGATTGAACTCCATTGGCTCCCTACGAGCAGCCGCGGCCCAGGTGCCAGCTGCAGTCCCAGCGCTGCCTCGGCCTCCGCTCGTCGCTGCGAAGGCTGCAGAGGCACTTTCTGCGAGACGACACGGGCGCCCATGGGCCAAAGCGCCCAAACCGGAGGCTGGGCTCCATGATGTTCCACGGTTTGGAGGTGTAAAGCTGCTACCTGGGGATGGTGGTTGCCTTGGAGAGTTGAATGAGGTTGGTCGGTTGCCAGTTGTTTGTATCCCAAGTTGCACCTCAACCAACTCATTGAGGTCGGCCGCCCGGGTCGTGCAGAAGAGCATGGACATGGCTTTGGACGAAGGGCTCAATGACCAATGTGCTCGGTTGGACGCTCGGCTGTGAGCTTTGTCAGTTTCCAATGGTCCGGGGAGCGCTTTGTCAGTTTTCAATGGTCCAGGGAGTGCCGAGAGCTTGCTCCGAATGCAATCAGCCTCAAGGATCACCCGAAATGTTGCCCCAGTAATGTCGCGTGGCACGGGGTTCGTCTCCCGACTTGTCCGGGCTCCAGGATGCCTTCCTCAGCTGCTTCGGAGCCACTGTGGAGGTGAAAACTCGGGACAGGGGCTCCGCACGTTTCTCACAAGGGGAAGTATGCCAAGGTAGGGGGGATGGGAGGAACGATGGTGGAAGCAGCCCTTTTGGATCCTTTTGGCAAGGTGTACTCAGCCTTGCGGCATTTGGTTTGGGGTTAGTATTCCCTACGAACATGGCCAACGCATAACAGCAGAACGGCACACTCCGCCGCGTGAATAATGAACAAAACGGGCCATATGTCAAGCTTGTACGGGTTCTCTTGGACATGTACCTTCCCCATGGCCACAATTCGTCAGCAAGCGCAATTCGGACGCCTGGCAGGACATGACGCTACGAGTGACATGTGCTCGTGTGCAAGAGCCGGATCGCCCTTTGCTTATCCAGCGCGCGAGCAAGTCAAGCAGCCCAGGAGCGGACAATTTGCTGCCTCGTCCAGAAGGTAGGTTCTGATTTTATTGGTTCAGAGCACGAGTTGCCAAGTAAGCAATGTAAATATTTTGGGCTTTTGGGTGACGAGTGTTGAGAGAGGCTGTGATTTGCAATTTTGAAGCTGTGCAGGAGATCGCGACGAAGCATTTCAGGAGGTGTTTGATCAGCCCACGCGTGAGGCAGGCAAGCAAACGAGTAGCGACTGACAAAATTGGAGTGCAACTGGACTGCAACCAAGCCCTTGTATGCCCTCCTTGTTTAGTTTCTGCGCAGGCCGCAACTGAGCAGTACTGCAAGTTGTTCACGAAGGAGTGTGGGCTGCCAACCCCTCCGCAAGGCTTCGTGTGGCATTCAGCCGGATGCTTGGCTGCATAGCAGCCCAGGAGTCACAGTGATTGTGTTGACGGATTTTTGTTTGTGCACTGCATCCAATAATTAACCCGAATTCTGGGCCAAATCGAGACGCGGTTTGTGACGGACGGGCTTACGCGCGGACACACATACCACAGACTGGCTTATGCGGAAAACAAGCGCAACAGCGGAAAAAGATGGCCCTGCCAAAAGGCCGTCACTGAGGCGCCCTGCGTGCCACCGCCAAGGGTGAGCGGCTGCGGTTCTTCGTCGGCTCCAAGGAGTTGCTGGGCATGGCCTTTTGCCGTTTCCCTTTTTGCTGGGGACAACTGGATTTGAAGAGAAGAGAGGATTGAAGTGGTTTGGCAACTCAGGAGAACTTGGACATGTATAAATGTTTTTGCCACCAATTGATATACTCGGATTCTGTGTGTTTCTGGGGCTGAGACGCGCACATCAGCTGCCAGATTCAATGAAAGGAGTGCGAAGAGGGTTGCGCGAGATTGTGGGCTGTTTTGGGCTTGCTGCGTTTTCCTGACTTTGGGGAGTATTTGGTCAGCTTCATTGGACAATTTGACATGACCCGAGGGGCAATTGGTTGTCCTCCACACAAAACTGGCCTGTCACCAGCAGCTTGAGCCATTGTAGCTGTTGTTCTTACGATTGAGTGCGTGTATTTGGTCCTCATACGGCGCTTTGGTAGTCCCATGTATTTCCCCAAGGCAAAGCAACCCCTTCACTTCCGGGGGGTGGCCCAGGGACAAAGTCTGTGTTGTAGCCAAGAGCGAAGTTTTCGAGGGCCTTCACGGCTTCACTCGCTTGAGGCTGCCAGCCTTTGACGCAGGGCCGATTCTGCAGAAATGCCGAGTGCCAGCGCAGCTGTGCAGCCTGGGGGCCGCGGCTTGAATCTGTGGGTAAACTGATCAGCGCCTCCTTTGGCACATGCCGTCAGTGTGGCACTATGAAACCAAAACTTGCCGAGAAAAGCAAGCACGGTTGCAGCAATTGATGCAAGTGAGATTGAGCAACCCGTCCGTTTAGTGGAGGGAGTTGACACTGCGGGAGCCTAGCTCTGACGCCTTGGGCACTAAGCGTTGCAATGGGAAAGCAAAAGCCAAGTTGTTTGGTTTTGCCTTGTTCGGGAAGGCTGGCCTGGTGGAGGGGTACTGTAGCTTTGGGCTGGTTGGCATGCATTTGGAAAGCAAACGTCAATGTTTTGGGGGCTGTCAAACAAGGAAATCCGTGGGAATTCTGGCGAACGGCAAACCTCGCCCAAACCTTATGGAGCCGGGCTTTGTTTGGGGCTTGGTGCTCGAGCAGTGCAACTCATGAATGGGGGGGATTATGCATGACGCTATTTTCAGCGGAACATCATCAGATCCCAGCGCCTTGAGGATCGGGAGCTGCTTTTGGGGGCGCTCTACCTGACGGATGGCGACCAGGTGGAGCTCTTGCAGCAGCTGCGAGGCGATTCTCTTCGCTGGCTGATGAGTCAAAGGCTCAATGGACGTTTCCCTACAGGGTGGCTTCTCAACATAGGGACCCCCCTTTTGGCTGGTTCTAGGTGCCTCTATTGTGAGAAACACCCACAGATAAGCATGAAACCCCAAAACCCGATATTCTAAGAGGATCAGCTTTCCAGGGACGCCTTCTTTGGCTTTGTTGATTTGCAGGGAGCACTTCCGTATGTGATGAAGCCCTGGTCAAAATGGGTTGATGACCTGTCAACTGCGTATTTCGAATTTGTGCAGTATTTTGGTACCCCCGCATTGCGCGTGGCTGAAAGAGAAAAGGGGGCGTTTACAGGTGGCTTGAATGATGCCACTTACTCAAATCAGAAGAATGACACGTGCAAGCAACACCCTTAGGTGAACAACTGGACTGGACAAGAAACATAGATTTTGGAGGCTTGTCAGCCATTGCATTCCGGACATGACGCTTGGGCTATGGTGGCTTGCTTGATGGAGCCCGCAAGGTCATTCCTTGCAAATCCCGGAGTTGGCCCCCACCTTGTGCTTTCAACAGGTTTAGGCCCTGTGCCTTGAAAGAAACAAACCACCATCCTGAATCCTAAGGAGCCCCTGATGTTAACTCAATTGCGCTTACAGCTGTGTTTGCTGAATAGGCTGCGCCGATCATCTGCGGCAGGGCGAGAGCTTTGCTGCTCCCGACTGGCTAGAGGAGATACGCGTTTGAGTCAAGCGAGCTGCGTGGTGCCGACACGGATCAATGAATCATGACAAGACAGCATGGACAAATTCCTTAACCAAGGGGTTGGCAAGCGAATGGCTTGCCCACACTTGACACAGCTGTGCTGGCGCATGGGGCCATGCACTTGGGCTGAAAGCATCCTGTGTGCAAGGATGCCATGGAGAGCAGCATTCCTGTTTGCATTTGGCAGGAGGCCTGGTCAAAGGGTGTGCAGAATGTGTGTGTGTGGGCACCAAAGCGGGTGTGACGCGACCGCGCGAGGGATGTGGCGGCTGCTGCTGCTGAACCCATGGCAAGCTGTGGGTGTGACAGTTTGCTCAGATTATCCTGTTTGCATTTGGTGTTGAAGAAACAATTATAGGAAATCACGCATGTTGGGGGTGCCCAATTCTCAAGACACTCCCATTTTGTTGTGTATGTAGATGCAAGATTCAGTGCTTGCCACGGAAGCTGCTTGGCAGGTCTATGCCCGGCTGATTCTTGAAGAAGACTACGACGGCCACCCCTGCGTCTCAGATGTTTGACAATCGCATATGGCCACTCACCAACGATCGCGGAAGTGAACAAGCACCCTTTCCACATGGACGGTCACTTTCCAGATGATATTTTTGGCATGTTTCTCTGAATGTAATCAATAGGGAACCCCCTCAAACAAGATTGGTGGCCATCAATCCCCGTTTATGTCCAAAAGATCCCCACTTAAAATCGGGAGGGGGTTGCTCAACACAGTTCCTGGAGGCATCAGAGGCTGCTTGCGCACTTGGTTTGCTGGGTTCTCGTTTCCGAGCGCATGCCTGATTCGCAGAGTGCTCGTGCCAAGGCTTGACGATCGCTTCATCTCATCCCTACGCAGGCCAGTGGCTGGGCAGTTAGGCATGGAGTTAGCCAAGATGAGGCAGTTGTGTGCGGAAAGGGCTTGCGGCACTGGCCCTCTCCTTTGTCAGACAATGACAAGTACGGTTGCCAGGCACAATCTATCGGGTCGTGCTTCTGCTGGCCTTTTTGTACCCATGTGTTCTCGCCACTCGGCCCGCATAGGCAAACCAAGATTTGTCAGCAGCTGCCCTGCGGGCTGAGTTGGGCACGTCCTTTCTCTAACAGTGCACCAAGCCAGCTACCAAGGCGCCTGCTCGCTCTGAGCTTGCATATCGCATCACCCGCAGCAGCCAGGCAGGGTTGAGCTCTTGAATGCGCACGAAGGTTCTGTGCGCGCACATTCGAGCCAGCCAAACCTGGCAAGCATGGTGGGGCCGGCGAGGCTATGTACGTATCCAGGGCCTGGGGCCCCTGCGCCCACTTTTGATCGACATGTTGTTCTCAAGCAGGGAATCGCGCGGAATGTCATCCGCGGGTAGCGTTCTTCTTTCTGGAAATCAAGCGTCCAACTCACACATGGAGCCCTGCATCTCCATCACGTGTGCTCTCCAGAGGAATTGGATTAGAGTCATGCCCCGTTAGGCCACTGGCAGCTTGCATCGGCACTTGGTTGCAGCAGCTTGGCCGCTGCACAGGGCTGGTCAGTAGAGCAGGTTCTGCTCCGGGGGCAAGTAGGGTTGCGATCTGACCTGCTTCAGTTCAATTTGATTGGGACCGGCCCAGAAATCGACTAGGTGCGCTGGAAGAGTGCAAAGCGATCAGGAGGAGACAACCGGAACGCTTCCGGAAGGCGAAGACTCCCTGAAATTGCAGGTGACTACAAACAAGAACGGCATGACATCCTGGAAAAAAGAAAACATAATTGTCCACAAGTTGTCCCCGATGAGAATGTGCAGAATGTTCAGCAAACAATTAGAGGCTTTGTTCTTGAATAGGCTAAGTGGGAACGACATGTGAGAGCAAACCCTCAATGGTTTGCTTCATGCAGGTCACAGCAAGGTCCAATGGTAGAAAGTATGACTGTCCACTTTCAGCTTCCCAAGCTTAGCTATCAATGTTGCGCCCTTGCGTCCAGATCAACTAGAGAAGCCCGTGGAACATCCCGCGAGGCACATATGGGCCAAAGGTATGAGCCGAAACAAGCACTCCTTTCAGGCAACTGCCAGTGACGGTCCTACGGCTTTGAGGCAATGAAGACATTGGCCTTCCGGGATGTCCAGCAACCTGAGACCAGCCCAGAGGCACCTGACGCAGAAGTTGCATCCATTTTGAAGTGCCGCATGCCTTTGCACCGGGGCTTGGTAAAGCATGACTTTGCAGCATGGCAGCTTTGTTCCTTTGATCGCAGCTTGGGCAAGGTTTAGTCAGCCACAGCACTCTCCATTCTGATGCCATTGCCATTTCTAGTCTGTTGCCCTTTACTTGCACAAGCGCGGCAAGGACCATGTCCATCTATTTGGCCAAGTGTGTGCAATTGTGCCCCTGCCCTCTTGCTGATTTGCGGTTATTTGAGACGTTATCACGTTCCACCAAGAACGCGCTTCTAAAAACTGGCTGTTTGATTGTTTGCGCAATTGTCTATGAATTTGGCGCAACCTGAGTTGTGGGGCGGAGGGGTGCGCGGCAATTCGATTCCGCGCAGGCGAAGGTGGTGACTCCCCTTTTTCCCTACCAGACAGAAGCCGTGCAACGTTTGCTGCTTGCACGCCATGCTGGGGCGAGGCTCAGATCAACATCTGGAAGTGTACAGAAACGGTTTCTTTGAGTCCCTTACTGCGAACAGTCTGAGGGCTTCAATCATCATTTAAACATTTTACTTTCATTTGCTTGCTCCCACACTTGCTGCTCATTTCTTTGTTGTGCCGACCAGCGTATTCTTTGCATCGGGTGACGAGAAGCGTAGGCCCATTCCACATGGTCAGATGACGTCAGATGCTTTCACTGCCTGAGGAGCGGGTCCTTGGACGCCTCGAGCCTTGGAGCTGGCAAGACTTTGGTTGCCCTCAGCCCCATGGCTGACCAAAGATCGCCCTGCAATGATTGATGGACGCAGGGGGGTCGTGTGGAGCATGCACTTACGCCAAACAACGTGTGTATGTCCTGCCGATGCTGTCACAACACCAGAATTACTGAGACCATGAAAGGTTGAGCCCACGTGTGAAGGTCATAGGCTTGCAGGCGCCTAGGCCTGTCATGCCTCTTCACTGCTTCCAGCTGTTCACCTGTGGTCCAATCCCAATGTTGTTCATGCCACTACTGGAGAGACTGCCGTACTTAAGGCTTTTGCTTGCACCTGGCGGGCGACAAAGGGGGCCAGTTCCTGGTCCTTTGCGCCTCCAGTTCGCTCATGGATGGCTGGCGCCAGCAGCTGGCACAGCACATGCAAGGCCGCACGCGGTTGCAGACCACGGTTGAAAACTGTGTCAACAGGCGCTTCCAAGGGACGGACCTTGAAGTTGAGCAAGCGACCCAGACATGGCAAGCAAAGCACACAGGACATGTCCGGTCAAAGGACGAGAAGGCCCATGCTCTGGACGCCCTCGCCGCCTCGAAATTTCTATGTGAATCACAGCAGTGCACAGTTCACAGCCTGTTGTGCAGAGGATTCCCGCACATTATTATTTCAAGTGAACCAACCGAAATGGAAATTCTGGGAAGACAAGTGGGAAGATTCTGATGGTCCACTTGCAAACGTGGGGAATCAGCAGCTGGCAGGCGTTCATGTCCAGATGCAGCAGGAGAACGGCATGCTCCGTGACGCCGCTTTGCAGGCTTTGGCGTTTGTTTCTTGGAACGGTGATTCATGTGGCCAGTGTGGTAGCTATTGACATGGGAAATGGCTGCTGTTTTGCAATGAGTGTGGGGTGGACGCCGGGCAGGCTCAATCTAACATTCAGGTTGTTAGTGGGCACTGGCGGTTGCTTTGGACCCCGTTTGCAACATTTACTTAACATATTGATACTCATTTCCGTTGCTAGCTTCAGCTACGACTCGTTGCCTGGACTTCTGGTTCGCACGCTGTTTCTGAGGTCTTGCTGAGGGACAGCAGCGAGACACGCCGAAAGCGAAAGAAGGAGACTTGGCAGAGAGAGCGAGAGAGAGAGTACGTAGGCATTGCAGGCGTTTCCTGTTCCAAGGTTGGTTGTAAAGCGGTCCGCTTCGAGCATTGTTCCCAGCAAACACGCAGCATCGCCTTTGTCGTTTGTCTTTAATTGACAAGTTGGATGTTGACTTTCGATTAACATCGATCAACGTTACCCATAACCCGGCACTCAGCCATCATATACCATGTTCCTTGACGGTTGTCGCAGACAGCGGGCAGTTTCAGGCTGGACTTGCCAGCCTCACCCGTGCCTCCGGCTCGAGCTAAGTGTCAGGCCATCGCCATGGCATAGCTTAAGTTTGCTCACGCAAGAGGTATGCAGTAGCACGAGCACGGGCCAAGCTGTTGTTAGGTCCATGGCTTTTACCTTCGGGCAACCATGTAGTTTGCTTTAGCCATATTTAGCCATTGCCATCCATTGGGATCCTGCACTCATCGGATTTCTGTCATGTTGAACTGCCAGGTCAGAAGTCGGATGAGCCTTGCGCTTCTTGTCTTGTTGCCATGAAGTCCTCATTGCCAAGAAGTTACAAGGCAATGCCCCTAACTTGGGGAAGTCACTTCCCCGGGCCCCGTGTTCCTTCATTCATTTTCTCACATTTGAAACGCCATCCTGTGCCATGTGGCGAGCGCTCCCGTCTGCCAAGCTTGGGCAGCGCTGCCAGTGGCATGCATGGCGAACGAAAACAGGAGGCACGAGTCTTCAGACTCTGCGGTTCCTAAGCCAAGGTGCCCATTCTGGCTGTATTGCCGGGTTGAGACGGGGAGGAATAAGGAGGGTTGCCGTTGTTCGAGAGCGGCCATCAAGTTTGCAATTGAAACATGAGTTCAGCACTGAGCTTTGAAGTCCTCAGACCTGACTTTCATGTCGCAGGCAAAAACCGCTACAATATGATCCGCCAGCGTGCAATGCAACAGCATGCAGCCGGGCTGCATCGCGCGATTTGCTCATTCTCTGCCCTTGGTTCCTTAAGCTGCTTCGAGTTTCCCTTCGTCTGAATCAGTCATCATGTCGCAGCATTTTTTAATTAAGCAATTTAGTGATTAATCGGGGGGTGCCAGCCATAAATGACACCGGAGACAGAAGTGCAGGCGCAAGCTGCAGGCATCTGTGCCGGCTAGCATTACGGTGCACTTAGGCACCGTTCGTGCATTGCAAACCTCGGCTCACTCTCAAAGCCACGAATGAAAGCTTTGGCCGAGAGTTGTCACATTCTAAACTTCAAGACGTGACGAGCCCGCCCGCCTAACATTGTGAAACCTAATTGGAGCCCGACTTCTTGCCATTTTCCCCAGCACGGCTAAGATCACAACCGACCTGGTGGATGTTCATTGCCTTCACGCAGTGAATCACAGGCAAAATGCTTTGGGCCTTTGCTGAGGCGAGTGCCCAAGCCCAACTCAACTTCGAGTCTAGGGGATTCCCTCGCAACAGCCATGTGGCTCCTCAAAGGCCCCTTTTTGGTGGCGTCCGCGTTTCTGGATGGGGCGGAAATGCAAAGCACATCCAGAAACGGCTAGGTACGGCTAAGTTCAAAAGTATGCTCAGGTGGATTATCTTCGTCAGCTGGAGCCGGAGCAGCAGCCGATCCCCACGCGTGCCATCAAGCAGCAGGACACTTGCAGAGATTGCCTTTGGAACGCCAACACTGCATCGTTCTTGGCAGGTGCTTTGCATTTTGAGTTGTTTGGTTTTGTTCATGGTGAAGGCTTCAGGACAACAAAGCTTTTGCATGAGCGCGAAGAAGCCACGGGTTGATGAGAACGCTGGTCGTGAAGGCTGAGAGCGCCAGAAGGGAAACGGATCATCGACCGCATGGTTCTCTGGCTTTTGCTGCTGCAGACAAGGGGGTTCCAAACTCCCCGAATGAGCCAGTATCATAAATCAATATCTAAAAAAGTGTATAATTGAAGTGAATGATCGATAGACACGTAGACATTTGAACACAATACAGGTGTATATGTATATTATGGTATATGTACAGATGTGTGTCTTGTTTGATTTGCACTTTCTTCCCTTTCAAGCTGCTGCTTCCTTGAAAGTGGCTGAGGACGACTACCTGCGACAGTTGGAGTCTCCGCGACCCTATCGCAGGCTTTCAGTCGACCCACAGCTGCGGACCCTGCAGCAGGAGATGGGCCCCTTAGCTGACTTCAGCTGAGCCATGGCCTGTCTTGTGTGGAAAGCGCAGAAATTCAGGACGTTTACTTTTGGCTTGTCCTGTGGCGCCAGCCAGGCCAACTGAACAGTTTTGCAAGGTGCGCCGCAGGGCTCATATGCGGTGGTTCGGAGATTGCATTTCTCCTCCTTCGGTAGTTTTGTTGCACTTGTATTTTTGTATTTTCATGTTAGGGGATAACATCTGCTTGGGTTCGTCATATGAAGCAGTTCGAGCACGTTTGTTCATGTCTGCAATGTGTCTTTTTTTGTCAGTGGATAATGGTGCCACATGACCGGGCAGACCTCCTTCCATCAAAAAGCTGCAACAACAACACAAAGATACCTGGCTAAGCAGCCCCTGATTGAGAAAGAAATGGCAATAGGCTGCCGGCACTTTTCACTAAAGAGTGCTGCTCCATTTTGGGACATGTTGGTGGAAATGACGGTAGCTTGCGCTCTCATGTTTGGACAAGCTTGAATGCAAATCAGATCAATGAATGATCAATTTGCAACTCCACATATTTCGCCTGTTTTCCACCAGCCCATCCCAGGCAATGTCATGGGCCACCCGGAGATCACAGAGCAGCCCAGCGAGGTGGAGCTGCGGGCTTTGCAGCCGCAGCGCCTGGCGCATTTCCGAGGAGCCCGACATGAGTCCGGAGCCGGCGACCCCAAAAGGCAGAAGAGTTGGGGAAAGCCTTGGGCATAAGCTTGAAGGTGTATGTGCGGCTGTCGAATAATTTGGACGCTTTTTTTTTGAACTGGCAGAAGGTGAATGCAACCGGCAGCTGGCGAAGTGTACATAATTGGGCTTTGTCCCGCACCGGCCCAGCCAGCAGATGGACAAGTAATCAACTGGGTCACTGCCAAGGGCAATTGCTGAGAGGTGCGCGGGAGCCCCAGAGGGTGTACGTGATAGAACTTGTGAGAAGATTCGCAAACCATCTATTCATACTGGAGGTGTTGTTTTGAGCACGATCAAAAGACTTCCCTCACTTCAACATATTCCTTAACATTGACACCTAGGAATTTGGAGGACTATTCTGCGAGAACTAGGTGGGAATGGACATCACGCGGGTTCTGTAGCGCGCTTTTTTTGCCCAGGAGCCCTCCGCGAGGTGGCAGTGGAGCCCTTCGGAAAGATCGAGGTGCACCATGGGGACATTTTCTCCTTTTGGGAGAAGGACTGGTATGCAGAGCAAGGGATGGCCATCCCACACGCCAACCACCGGGATTTTCTTGAGTCATGGAGCCGTAAAGGGCTTCCCCTGGGCACATGCAGGAATGGACCCCTGCACCGGACACTATCACGCAGTGCTCGCCATTTGAGGCACCATGACGGTGTGACGCAGAAGGGATTTCCATCCGGCTCATGTTTTTCGGCCCGGTGAAAAAGGGTGGGTCCAGGGTTCACTTGTTGTTTGCCTTGACGGTCGTCAAAAGGACCTGCTTTGCCCCTGAGGACTTGCAGGACCTGGCCGAGCGCCCGAAGGAGAGTTCTGCAAGAGCCGCGGCCCGCAGCATGGTGCTTCCCATGTCACCGAACTTGCTACCCTACCGCCGCCCGGCTGAAGGTGCCTCCTTTCAGGTGCTCGATGGGTAGGTTATGAAGAAGAAGCCGCCGAGCTGCTTCGTGAGGGATTGCAGTGCGAGTTGCGTGCATGGTGAGGTACAAAGCCCGTATTTCCTTGAGCAATGTTGCGGCAGTGTTCCGTGTTGCTTCTTTGCCCAACATTTTCAATTCAAGCAGCACCACGCGGCTGGCAGTACAGGCATGCAAGGTTCAAGTTATCTTACCAGTGTATGCGAATGTGGATGTTTCTGCCGTCACATGCGTGTAGGCAATGCTCACCCATGGTGAGAGGATGGAGGGCCTTTAGCTAATTATTCTCGTTGCTTTTTGCGGCATCGACCTTCCCATCTTGCAGATTCCAATCTGGATACGCAGAAGTTCCTGGCCATGTTGAAATTTGCTTTGGACTGTTTTTTGAGGATGCCCTTTTGAAACAGGATATAAGTGGAAGCACGCTTCTCACGAAGAGCCCTGGCAAGCCAACCCCCGAACGAACGGACAAACGAGCTAGCGAACCGACGAGCCAACCTGCCAACGAGCCATGCAAGCAATCAAGCAACCAAACACGCCCCCCCATTTGCAGAACAGCCACTGCACCTCACTGCATGCCCAAGTAAGGTGGCTTGGGCTTAGAGGCCTTCGACCGCGGCGGCGCGCTGCTGGTGAGAGAAACCTTCGAGGACAGCGGGTCACGTTTTGGGGGGGGGGGGGAGGGCCGTGACCGAGCAGGAGGGCCTTGAGAATGTTGCATAATTGGGAGCAGGGACAACTGACTAATGCGTAGAATATTGTAGAGATCGGACAATTCATTTTTCACAGGTGAAGGATGACCCCCACTTACAGGCAGCAGCGTGGCTTCCTGGCATCATGGCAACCTTTCGATACTGCAAGGCTCACGATTTGGCAAGCCTGGCAGGAGGCCAAGCGAGAGTTCGGCATCGAGAATCCAGAGAACGAGAAGGAAACGAAGGCATCATGGAGCTTCACTCTGAGCGGAGTGGGCGGGCTGAGCCCTTGCTTTGTGCTCGCAATGGGAATGCGCAAGTGCCATATACAGCTTGGCGCCTGCATTCACATGGCACGCGGGATGCTTTGGCACAGGGTCCATGCATGTGACATGCTCACATACTCGGATGTGAGCAAGGCCTACAACATGCCATGTTTGTCTTTGATTTGAACTCTGTGGCTGCATAGTCCAAAGAGAATGATAATCTCACAGGCTAAGATCCTGTATCGTACTCGAACTCGCCCTCGGGCCGGCACAGAAGCTTCCATGTGCTTAGCAAAGGGAATCCCATCGCTTTTAGGATTCACGGGCGGGGTATCCACGAACCACGGACTTTTGAGGTAGTCATGTGTTGTCCTGGGTCCCCCACCCTGAGATCCACCTGGAGCCCGGGAACGTGGTGCAGCTACCGTTGCACCACTTGGCGCCGCCTTTAGTGCGGAGACAGCTGCAGGCAATGCAGGGGGGACCATGGGCATGTTTGCCAAAGAGGGGTCTGTCTATAGAGGCCTCCTTCAATGGTGCAATGCTGGGCTGGGGAACATTTGTTCAATTCGTTTGGCTTGCCGGGTTGTGGCAGAGTCCCATGCAGCCCCCAGTTGGGAACCACACCTCTTTTATTGCGCCAAGTCACCAAGTCATCCGCACTGGCAAATGCAAATCCTTGCATCAAGTGCTGTAATTTCGATGAAGCAAACGTCACCCGCGAATCCACTACCACTACGACCGCACGCTTCTACCTCCAGTCCCGGTGCTTCGCGCGGAGCCTCAACATATCAACAGGGGAGCTCAGACAGCAACCTAATTCTCGAAAGAGACGCCTAAGCGCCCAATTACTTTCAGGATCTTTCAGGAATTGTTTGCCGTTGGATCTATTCGGGTTGAATTGCTATACAGCCGGTGCTTAGGGGTGGAATGCACACCGCCCGTCACTTGACAGGAGGGCGACTGCAACTGGAAGAACCGGATCATGTTCATGATCATGCCCTGGGTGTGGGAGGGCAGCCCCATGGACGCCGCAAAACGGTTCCGCTTCTGCACCAAGCGTGCCTTCGAAAGTGCGGTAAAGCACTGTAAGAAGGTGTCGCAGGAGGCGGAGGCAAAGATGCAGCCGTGCCTTGGCGTTGGGCAGCGTGAACGACCAATCTCCCAAAGAGTCACGGCAGTTGTTTAAACAACCGGCAAAGGGCTTGAACATGTTCAGACAAGGGGCCTTGGACTTGAGGACCTGGGTATCCCTGCCTTTGGGCGCTCCAGTCAGTCCCTTTTCTCGGCTCGTAGGTATATACTTGATTTTTAAAAATGACCAAGACAAGGGTGCCCATTTGCCCCATGCCCCATTTGCCCCAGGTCCTTTTCGTTGGCAACTAACGGGGAGGCCTGGGTGAAAGGATGCTGCAAGGGCCGCAAACTCATCCAGGTGACCTCATTTTGACACGGGTGCATGGATATCCACAGTGTGTCCTGAGCATTCCTTGAGTCGAGTCACATGTGGCAAACATACATGCAAGGCTAATTGTTGCCATGAGGCAAAAGGCCAAAGGGCCGTCGAGGAATGCAAGAAGATGTTGTCACCCATGTTAATCGAACCCATTAGCATGGATACAAGAATACATATTAATCAGTTGTTGTTGAAATGAGCCGGTGCAATCGAGTGATCTGAGCGGAACATGACTCGAACAGTTGTTGTAAAGGGTTCTGTTCATGCTATTGCACCGCTTGATGCTGCACTGGCCCGGCAAACCTTTGTTTGTACTTGCAGCCTCCGATTCAGAGAGGCAGGCCTTGTTTCTCGTCGGCTGCATCCTTCATACGTCAAAACCGAGTCTCAGTTCGACCCGAAGGAGGTCGAACTCCCAAAACTACGGTACACATAGCTGATCCACTGGGTTCCCATGATGGCGATGGAAGCACACACCCCATCATCAGTTCAAGCACACAGATTCGCGACAAGCACTTGTAGTTGGCGGAGCACAATGCAATGGTTCAGGAATGCCCATGGACATGCGCATCACATAGGATCCAACCAAGCCAAAAATCCCGTTTGAAAGGAATCATGTACCAATGCCAACGTTGCAAAAGCAAGAACCTATCACTGGAAATCGCCGCAGCAAGCAACAAAAACATGGTGTGTTGTTTTCGCTTGTAGTTTGTCATCCTTTGCCAACATGATGGCATGAGTGTGTAGCCGCGTTTGCCTTGCATGGCCTCCATGCCAGTGCACCGTTGGTGGATCCAGGGGATGGGGAGCAATGCAACGAGCAGAAGACAGAAGGATCAACACATCTCGCACTTGCAGGTTGAAAAGCACGCACGTACTGCTCAATAGTGCTTCACTTGTGCTTGTTGCCTTCATGTGTTCATTCTGTCATCCTTCTTTTTGTCTGCCTTATGGACATACATCAGCAGTGCATATCACTTGTACGCATAGCAGTGCTGACCTGAATTTCAATTAGGTGCACTTCTTTGTCGCTGCATTTTGCTGTTGAAGCCCATTAAAGCCCTCACTATCGTATTGGACCCAGTGACAAGAACCGACACAGACACACATTCACAATGCCCGTTCATTTCCAAAATCAGGTCAAATCCATGAGATTCCCTTTCTATCAATCAGGCAATCAGATGTGTAGCTCAATCTCCGGGCCACCTTGCCCAGGCCCCAAGAATTTGTGGATCAGATGCAGACCCCAGGTACGAGGGCACTGTGGCGTTGCCCAATTTGGGCGGCGGCATCTATGGCTATGAGCCCAGGCGCCACAGAGGGTGTGCAACCCCGTGCAGCCAGGTTCAGCTTGTTGGGTGCGAAGTTGGCGCTATGCTCGTCCGATTCATTGCTTGAGCGCGGCTCTAGCAAGTGTAAAGTAAAGAATTCCACTTCAAGTGGCTGACCCTCTTTGAATGCTGGTTGGCGTCAAGGATCCTTGAGCGTCAGCCTTGCCACCAGTTCATGCATCAGCTGCTTGAGTCTCCACAAAATCACCTTGCCTGCGTCAGGTTCCTTGCAAGTCCCCTTTACCCTCACTGAGGGAAACTCGTTTCGTTTAACCGCCCAAAAAGGACGCCCTTGAGCTTGAGCTGCCCTTTAGAGGAGCAGCAGCGTTTCGCTGGTGGAGGAGGCCTTTGAGACACTACTGCAAGTAGAGGCTGGGTGCTTTTACTGGAAGCCTGCAATGAGCAAGTGAATGTTGCAGACGAAATGCATACGTCTATTTTTGTTGAAATGTATGGTCGTATTGCGAGATGTTGCGCATTTGAAGTGTCCAGCTGTAATGCATAGATACGTGATAAGCTTGGACTGGAATTCAGCGAGTTTTCCACGCGAATGTCCTTGGAAGTGGCTTGGACCTCACTGCCACCAGCCGTGATAGCAGGACAGGGTGCAGGTGCGAGTGGACTTTTTAAGTAAGCTTGGTCTTTCTGCTCGTTGATCCCAAGTCCTGTTAACATCCTGAAGTGTCTCAATGTCTTAAGAGTCTTAAGTCCCCTTGGCAACAAGCGCCCCGAAGGATAGTTTCAGAGAAGAACGCATGGCACCAACTTGTAATCGATAACCTGCAGAGGGTCCAGGGCAGAAGTACGCACCGCGCCCGCCAGGCCTCGGACCCCTGCTACGCCCTGCGGCGCATTTGCTTCGTGGAGGCAGACCTGGAAACTGCCACGAGCCTTGCAGAGTCCCTGGTGCAGGCGGGGTGGATCCATCCAGCCAAGCTGATAGGTTTTGATTCAGCAAAAACTAGCGAGCCAAGTTGGAGCTCACAGCCTCAACCCGAAACCCGCATATTTAAGTTTGATGGAAGGATGCGTGGCAGCATGAACAAGTTCAACTACGGCCAGTATGGTGATTAGAGTCTACCAGGAAAAGGCATGCATACACCCCCAGTGCAAGAAGTGCCCCATGTGTCTAAGAGACGACTTGAAGGCTTGTAGAAGCCTTGCTGTTGGCTTGTCCAAGCTCATTTTGGCTCCTTGAAGGGCAGGTGCCTTGCCATCCCAGGTCTCTCATCGCTGGCTGCCGGAGCAACGCCTCACCACGGCGCCAGAGTGGTGGGGCCGACAGACGCGGCGGCTGCTGGTGCTGCCGGCAAAGCCCAATTTCTTCTGGCGGAAGTTCCGGGTGAAATTCAAGCAGCGCCATGGCGTGCCTTGGGCAAGATGGAGCTGAACACAGATGAATGGCCCAAAAGGGTCCTTCTCTGTGAATCGTCGCATTTCGGACGGGGCGAGGTATTCCTGCCCATCATGCATTGCGGGGTGGGGGGTTGGGGGCATCATGTTGCTGAAAGGGGCGGGGGTTCCAAATCACGAGTTGGCAACCCAGGATCTTGGCCAGACCTTCATAGGCATCACCCTTGCCAATGGTTTGCTTGATTTGCGGCCAGCTGTTTCTTGGTTCTCGCACAGCCTTGAACCGTCGAAGGCTGACTTGAGGCTCAGCTCAGCTCACAGCTTACCTCCCAACTTGCTCAATGGGTTCCACTGTCCCCCCTTTTATTCTGAATGAGTTCTGGCATTTAGCCGTGGCCACCGCTCTTCTTTTGTTTCCCCTTGCTGGGGGGGTTTATACATGAGCACCTGTTTGCCGCCCAGGTTCACCTGAAAATTTTCTTGGGGTTCTTCTTTAAAGGGACGTGACACATGGCTATTAGCTTTCATGGTCACACACTCGAACATGTTTGGACATAAATCACGACGATTTTCTGATGTCTAGCAAAGGGCTCCAACCAATGAACATTTCAAGCGGTTCTATCTTGGATCGTTTCCACTAACCCCAAACGCCGGGAAAATGGGGAGATCCACCGTACACCAACCCGGGCAGCGATTGGTAGGTGAAGAAGCGGGAGCTGGTGAACTACGAGGGTAACGTGGTGCCTTTCCTTTGGCGCGCCCAGAAGGTCCGCCAGCCACCGCCACTGTTGGTGCATCAAAGTGATGGTCGTCTGCCGGACCCCCAGAGACAGCTGAAGCCTGGCTTGGTCAGCCTTCCCTTCAACGCTGCATGCAATGGAGGGTCCCCTTCAAGAGGAGACCCTCCCGTTATGTTGGGAAGGCATCCTGGGTTTGAGCGAAGCATCTAATTTCTTTCCTACTTGTCACAATTGGCTCCTGTATTGGTTAGATATGATGGCTGCGAGCTGTGATAGCTGGCGCTGGAAGTTGTGGCGATGGCCGCGGCTGCGCAAAACTAGCTAGCGGAATGTTGGGGGACCGAGTCTGGGGCTTGGGGTTGCGAAGAGCTGAGAGGCGAAGGGCGCAAAGACAGCACCGGGACACCAGGCAGGAGACCTGGCACTAAATGTTGATTGTTAGATGATCAAAGATGGGTAGACTTGATCGATAGATAATAACTGTTATTGTGTGCAACCGTCCGCCACCGCTCAGCTGCTTTACAGCAGGGCCTCGTTTAAATCATTAATTTATAATTCTATTTTGCCTTTTGACAGACCGAGGAAGCCCCGGCCCTACTACAAGCACGGGATCTCTCACATGCTGTTTCCCCACCGCCAGCGTGGCTTCCGCGGTTTAAGGCGGACGGCGCGTGGGCAATGGGCCCCTTGGCAGAGTTCGCAGGGTCCGTGGGTCCCTGGCGTTTTTGTGATTCATCCCTGCCAGGGATCTGTTGCAATCAAAAAGGAAGTTTTGCTACCATGTTTTAGGGGGTCTCCCTTTCTGTATCTTGGGCACACCAGTTGGCCACTCAGAGATGGGTTGCACATGCCCGAGCGAGGAAATCAAATCTCTGAAAGGAGCTTGGCCAGGGAAGAGCCCTGCCTTTGAACTTGGGCCTTGTACAGAGTGCAACAGCGTGGAGGTTGTGCAATGGATTGCCGTGGCTAGTTGTAGTGCCCATTCAGAAACATATTTTGGGAGAGGTTGTGTGTATTGCTTGTGATGAAACAAATATCAGGTCTGTAACCGAGCGGCAAGTCAAACGGACATATTTATGTGCAAGTCACCAACCACGCAGTTACCTACGATGGTCTTGGTTGTGGTCATCCCACGTTTCTAAGGCGACCGGCATTAGAGGCATTAGAGTGGAAGGCCCTCTCATGCGCGGTGAGGCTTAAGCCTTTGCACTTTGCTTCAAAGCGTTAGTGCTGCGAGGTTGGAGCGGCCGGCAAGTACAAACTCAGTGATGACATCCGCCCGAAGATGTGAGCTTGTCGCATGCTCTGAGCAAAAGGGCCCGCTGCGTTCTGCGCGCCGATCAAAAATGTGAGATGTTGTTAGCAATCTTCTTGCCCACTGAGGTGAAACCTGCGGGAATCAGAAGACAGTTTCCCGATTCAAGAGCAGCCCGTGTCAGACCGCCAAGATTTAGTTTTCTGAAAGTACTTGACGAGTTACTAGGCATCAGGTTTGGAAAGCATTGGCAGAAGGAAAAGACAGGCAGACATCCGTAGTGTTTTTTGGCAGACCGTTTGTTGTCATTTTCACCCACCTGCCTGTGTGTTGGTATTTACCGCCGTCAAGCTGGTGAGACATGTGTTTCGCACTGCTTAGCATAGTTTTGGGCACACTCAGGCGCACACCCTCCCACATGGGAAGCACAGCTGCATGCTTTGATTACACCACTCACAGGCTAAAGGAAAGTTTACGCACCTTTCGGTGATGCATGTTGCGTCAGCATGCCCTTCAAACTGAAAGCCTATGTGACAACATGCAGGGTTCTAGTTGGCAGGGCAGCGTTCGCCAGGGCTGGCACTGCCCACCGATACTGGCCCTGACACCAGCGCCAGCAGTGCAGGGTGAGTTTAGGGTTGGAATGGGTTGGTTCAGGTTTGGTTGCCTTCTTGTTTAGGGCTGGCCTCGGATCAAGTGTGGTTTAGGTGTTGCCTGTTGCCTCGGTCGACCCTTGGCTTCGCTGAGCGTTGGTAGAAGCTTTGCTTCAGAAACTCGGATGGTTTAAGGTTGGTTTCTGGGTTTGTTTAGGGGCCGCTTAAAGGTGTAATCAGGGTTGGTTGGGCCAGCCCTGGGCTTGTTCAGGGTGGTTCGGGCTTTGTCGAAGGATGTTGATCGAAGACCATTTATGTGTGTGCGGTAGGGCTAGGAAGGGCTTCTCCTCGCTGCCACCTGCCCGGTTTTCTCCACCCCCAAGAACGCATGCGCAGTTGGAATCGTACGTGAGGTTTGGTTGGTTAAGACTAGATGGCACTGGCACTGTTTTCGGCTTGGTTCTAATCATTCTCCACTACCATGTGCTTGTTCCAAAAGGACACCCAGGCTTAGAATGTCTTCCCATCTTTGGGGCACGCACCCTTTGAGCCTTGACTCGGCCGTTTCCATTGGATTTGCAAGGACGGGGAGGTGCTCTTTGTGCTCACGACCTACTCGCGGGCCGCTCGCCACCCCTTCTCCTGCACCTGGCTTTTAGTGGTGGCAGCTTCTTGGTGCGCAAGAGTACGGGGGAGTAGCTGGCTGGCTTCACACATGGCAATTTTGCTCCCAAACAAGGGGATACAAGGGGAAAATCCAATGAGCCTTGGAGGTCTCCAAGAACCTGGAAGACCTGGACTTGGCTGACAGGATTTTTGGACCTTGTTCTCAGGGGATTGTCCGAGGGTTGTGTTGGGGGATTGAGTTTGGCAATTCCTACAAAGCAAGGATGAGTGCTTGGCGCTCCAGAACACTGACACCCTGCAATGCGCAGCCGCCTGGCGATTGGTGTCCCGATCGCTCTACGGAGGACCGCGCAAGGGGTGGGGTGGCTTGCAGGTGCTGCCCTTGCCATACCTTGCCATGGTTCACACAGTGCCGTCCATAGGCCTGGCTGCCGGATCCTTTCTTTGCTTTCTTTGTTCGATACGCTCGATATGCAAGCTTTTGGATGCATGCTTATTGCAAACAGCTAGGTCCACGGGGAATAAGTGGAGAGATACGGACAAGGATGCACCATGGCCTGCACCGCCACTAGCCCCAGCCACTTGCAGTGCCTGGAAGTCACAGGGATGTCTCTGGCCTGATAGGCCGGCTTGGAAAAGACGCTGGGTTGTCAGAGGACATTTCATTTCGGGCACCATGTTCCGCCGCCACTACAGCGACCTCCTAGACATGTTGAAGATGCTGCAAAGCTCCATCCCGCTGCGAGCTGAGCCGCTGTCCTGAAGGGCGAGCGGGGAGTTCCGGTAAACATAGGATAACACAGGAGAACACGGCGCTTTGGGCTTTTAGAAGGGGCTTGCTTTGTGCAGGTAGGGTTGCCCCCAGCTGTATATCAACCCTGGTTCCATCGCTGTTTTTTGAAATATGGGAGCCCTGCTGGGCCGGGCCTTTAGGTGGAGGGATGCGGGTAAGCAACCTGCCACCGGCCGGCCGTAAACTTTTGAACTGGTCTTGCTGGAGAAGATGGTGCGAGAGAGGCTTGTTTGACCCAGGGGCCTCATGTGAGGCAGGCTTTGTGATCGCGCCCCCCTCAGAACTCAGCTGTTGATTGATCATAAGCCTAGGTCCAGACACAAGACCCACGTTTCAAGTCTGGGCCAGGGACTCAGAAGCCTCAGGTTTGTTCAAGCCTACTTTGGCGCCTACCTCATCAGCTATGTGCGTCCACAGCGGCCGTGGTCCACCGAGCTGATCCCTTTGGACATCCCGCCTTCAGTGCAGGCTGGTTACCTGGAGGCCGGTCGTGGACCAGCGGGGATTGTGGGCGACACCCAGGAAGGCACTCGTGGGAGCCTCATGCTGACTGGTGGTAGTGGGCCAGGCATAAGCATCCACGGGTCACGGCATGTGCGCCCCGCGAATGAATGCCCACAGACACAACTCAGTCAGCATTAGCATTCCTGTGTCAAAATGAGCTTTTTTGGTGGTTATGGTTGCCCGTGTCAAAGGCGAAGCTTCAAAGCCACCCTAAACCCAGCCGAAACCTACCCCAACTTAGCCACACCAACCGCAAAGCTATTGTAAACCTGCGTAAGACTATTCAAGAGTAATCTTAGGCCAACCTAAAGCCCACCAATTCGTTTTGCCTTCAGGTGTTAGATGAGTGCCGCGGTCGGGGCGCACAGAACTTCGTGAAGGTTCTTGGACGGATGCGGCGGCTGCTTCTTGGCCTGGGGATGTAGGCCGAAACTGCGAGATACGAAAAGGGCCTTTGAAGGGTTCATGTGATACAGTGCCAAGAGGGGATCCTCAGGGCTGGGATGCCAAGCGCAGGACCCAAGAATGGAGATGAAACGTCCTGGTGAATGAATGACCATGGATAGAGGCGTGCGCCCACACACACAGAGAGCAAAGCCCGTCCACTCAAAGGTCTCTTGCAAAATTCAACCAAGAGCTGATGAATCCATATTTCCCAAGCTGTCGGTCCATGCCGCATTTGACTGACAGGGCTGCATCCGTTGTGTCACATGGGTTGACGTTTGCTTTTGGTGGGGGGGGGGGGTTGTTGCAGGTTGCAAACTCCTTTTGCACGTTGACCTGGATCCCAGAAGTGGCACCCCCCTTGGCGAGAACAAAGGGATCTCTGTTTTCGGAGCATTGCCCTAGGCTCAGCACTTCGCTGCAGCAAGATCCCCGACCCTTGGCAGAGGCCATGTGGAGTGCTGTGCGCCAGCTTCGTGCCCAAGGCCGGGGCAGCTGGCAAGGAGTGGTTGCAATAAACCTTGGTTGTCTCATGTGGGAGCTTCCCTACCCAAAAGATGTGTAGTTCCAAAAATGGGTGGTGTGCCTTCTCCAGAGCAAGCTGCAAGCTAAAAGAGTGCGAACTCAACAAAAAGCAACTCTCATTGCTGGCGGCGGCATTCTGATTTGCCCATGGTTTTGCTACAGGTGTGAACATGCCAGCAAAAAGACGGTGCTCAATGGCTGCTCGATGCAAAAAAGTGAGCACTATGTTTGGACATGTCAGCGGTCTCAGAACAAGGCTTGGGTTGGTGTGAGATGTCGCGGGCTTCTGAAGCTGCTTATTCTTGTGCTTTGGTTTTCACACTACAATTGAGCGCGTGATGCGTAGAAGTTTATGGGCATTGCCAATGCCTGAAATGGCAAAGTCAAATAAAACAATGAATGTTTGTCTTGCTTGGAGCCCGGCAAATATATGAAGAGCAATGCCCTCACGCAATTTGAAACCCGCTTCTCTTCCCGTACACCCGGCAGGGCGCCGGCCCCTGGTCTTCGCCTCCACGGAACGGGAGGCGGAGGCCTTGGCACGGCTCATCGCCTGCGCCCGGCGCTTCCGCAAAAGCCACCCTGCCCACTGCAAGGCGCGGCATGAGGGGTGTGGGGACTCAACGCGGAGGTGTTACGCGCATGACTTCCATGCGGTATTGCCCTTTTTTGGGTTGGGATTTGACACCGTTTGGCTGGCACCTCATTTCGCACAGGTGCCCACCGAAGCTGAGTCCCAAGCTGGGATCCCCAGACCTTGCAACCTTGCCTGTATGACAATGAGATTGGGCTCCTGCTTCCGGTTTTCAATGGAAGGCTTCCGTTGCCGCAGGGTTTGCAGGTCAGTCAAGAAGCAAAATTCACGGGGTGCTCGTCTCTCGCCACATGGCCAGGGATGCGACCTGTGCCGTAACTTCAACAAGCCGCTTGGTTTCAGAGATGGTCCAAAGGCCTGGGAGTGCGCTCAGACGGCATTGGGCCTATCATTGTTTTGTGCATGCCTGGCTCCCGCACAAGAAGCATCAGCTTTGCTAGTCACATGTATGTCATGGCATGTTGTGGGGTTCGCAGTACCTTGTGTTCTAGCGTTTTGTGGTTGTCGACTTTGCTGCCTGCCCATAGTTGCATTTGGTTCAGCGCGCTGCTTCGGACGTGAATTGGGCATTCAAGAGGGCTACAACTCAGCCCACCATCTAGCACTTCTGAGATCAGGCAGCTGCGGTTGTCCTTGGTTGCTGCAACTTCCGGGGGACCCTTGGAGGGCTTGGCCCGTATCCTCCTTTCGGAGAGGCACGCTGCGATGCATGAACTCAGTCGGAATCTGTGGTGGGTGGAGCCAAGACAAGTTACATGCCTAAGTTTACAGGTCACGCTCAGAAGATGAAACTTATCGAATGGGCAGATAGCGAGTGAGGAAGCGGATAGCTAGGCAACATGTGAGGCACCATTTACCAAGAGTTGTTCAAGCACTTGGCTTTGCCGGCCTGCACCTTCTCTTGGGTTCAGCCTTTGCTCGGCAATGCCGAGGTTCGCTCCGCCAGGCCGGGCGGAGGGGGATTGGGGGGCAAGATTCTAAGATGGTAGGAGGTTCACGGGTGCATGTTCACTTATTTTGGGTGGCGGCAGGGGGTTCGGCTCCGTGAAAGGTTGCGAGAAGATGCCGCCGATTGAAGGCAAGAAGGGGGGGAAGGGGGAACGGGAGAGAGCAAGTGCGCGTGTGTCTCTTGTTCAAATTGTTGGGCTGCTCGCATGCCTTTCGGTGGCCACTTCAGAAGTCGTGATAGTGGAGCAGATGTCAGGCTTCAGCATGAAGTTTGATTTGCATCCCTGTTGAGTGCTTCAGCCCCAGGCTCCGAATCGGAGCAGGAGCTCCTGATCTTCACAGTGGGCGCTGACTCTGCAGGCGCCAAGAGGGAGATTTCGCCTGGTCATTCCAAGTTGGGGTCCGAACAGTGGATGAACGAGGTATAATTAGTGAAGGAAACTATGCAGCCAAAAGTTTGCTTGGCCCTGCTGGCTTACGTGTTGCACCTGTGCACGCAGCCCATTAAACCTAATTATCATACGTGGCCGGCCACGCGGCCCTTCAGGACAAATCAGAGCAAAGAGGTCCGATCAAACACTCCATTTCCGCAGGGAGTGCGCGAGCAAGAGATAGGTTTGACGATGGGCTGACGTTTTCCAAGTGTAAGTTTTGCATGGAGCTCGGCAGGATTGAACCTGCAGTCCTTGGGCGATGCATTGGTGCTGCGCAGCCTGGCCACCAACAAACAGCAGGCCCGAGTAATGAAGTGCTTCTGGGTATGGCGTTTGCTGTAACTATTTCATGTCTCCCTTCGCTTAATGTCCAATGGGGATTAGTAAAGGGGAGCCCCCCCCCCCCCCTAACGATGGGGGCATGGGGAATAGTATGTTGAGGTGAGTTTCCATCAGATTTAGTATTGGCAGACTTGAGTTTCAAATTGATTTAGTATTGCTGGAGCTTCCTTTTGAGATTTGGATCTGAGTTTCAAATTGATTTAGTATTGCTGGAGCTTCCTTTTGAGATTTGGATCTGAGTTTCAAATTGATTTAGTATTGCTGGAGCTTCCTTTTGAGATTTGGATCTGAGTTTCAAATTGATTTAGTATTGCTGGAGCTTCCTTTTGAGATTTGGAACTGAGTTTCAAATTGATTTAGTATTGCTGGAGCTTCCTTTTGAGATTTGGATCTGAGTTTCAAATTGATTTAGTATTGCTGGAGCTTCCTTTTGAGATTTGGAACTGAGTTTCAAATTGATTTAGTATTGCTGGAGCTTCCTTTTGAGATTTGGAACTGAGTTTCAAATTGATTTAGTATTGCTGGAGCTTCCTTTTGAGATTTGGAACTGAGTTTCAAATTGATTTAGTATTGCTGGAGCTTCCTTTTGAGATTTGGATCTGAGTTTCAAATTGATTTAGTATTGCTGGAGCTTCCTTTTGAGATTTGGAACTGAGTTTCAAATTGATTTAGTATTGCTGGAGCTTCCTTTTGAGATTTGGATCTGAGTTTCAATTTGATTTAGTATTGCTGGAGCTTCCTTTTGAGATTTGGAACTGAGTTTCAAATTGATTTAGTATTGCTGGAGCTTCCTTTTGAGATTTGGAACTGAGTTTCAAATTGATGTAGTATTGCTGGAGCTTCCTTTTGAGATTTGGAACTGAGTTTCCATTTGATTTAGTATTGGTAGACTTGAGTTTCCATTTGATTTAGTATTGGTAGACTTGAGTTTCCATTTGATTTAGTTGTTCCTTTCCTTCTTCCTTCTCTCATCTCTTTCTCTCTTGCCTCTTCCTTGGCTGGCTGGGTGGGGGCAGGAGGTTTGGAGACTTCAGCAGCCACAGTTGCAAAAAGGAAGGTAGCAATGCAACAGGTAAGGTTTGCAGGTAAATAGGTGGTGCAAAGCTCCCTGTAGGATCAGATCTCAGTGAGATGTTTCCAGAGAAAAAAGAGAAGTTGCACCTGCAAGATTCAAAGGGAGAGGGAGGAGAGAAGATACAAGAGAAAGTAGAAGAACCAGCCAAAGACAAGGTGGAAGAACCGTTGGAAGATGTGCTAAAAGAAGAACCTGAAGGAAAAGAAGAGCCTGAAGGAGAGGTGGATGAAAAGAAAGATCACAAGGAGGTGGCTGAAGCCTAGCAGGGAGCTGCCAGTAGCAGCCAGCTAGAAGCCAGCTGCTGAGAGCAAAAAAGGAAGCAGAGCTGGGCCAAAGCTGCAGGGTTAGTAGGAGTTTGAGGCAGGTTTGCATGAGGTCATTGGCCAGCTTGAGAGAGGGTTGCTAGGAGTTTGAGGCAGGTTTGCTTTGGCCAGCTGGAGTTTGGCCAGCTTGAGAGAGGGTTGGTGGGAGTTTGAGGCAGTTGTGCATGAGGGAATTAGCCAGCATGAAAAAGCGAGCTTGGAGCAGCTGTCAGCTCTCCAAGCAAGTTGTGCTTCAGCTTCAAGCTTTGCATAGCTGCTGGGCTTCCACAGCAGTTGGTGGTTAGTTTTCTTTTCAGCATGAGTTAATTACACTGATTTCATGCATTTGTTGGTTCAGTTGACAATCTCAGGTTGCAGAGATGAGCAGGCTGGCAGGGCTGATCAGCAAGATGAAGGCTAAGAGGACACAGGTGGCAGTTGGGCTTGTAGCTCTGGCAGTTGGGTTTTTCAGCAACAGAGCCCCAGCTTGACTTAGCTTCTCTTTGGGAAAGTTTGGGAAAGTTTGAGAAAGATTGACCAACCCCCTGCAGCCCAGGAGATGCTCGCACAGTTGTCATGTCCAAGGGGGCACTGGTGGTGGCACAGTTGGACATTGGAATGGCTGCTTGGTGTAATTTAGCTGGTTTTTTCAGCTTTAGTTGGTCAACAGTTTGAGTGTTTATTTGTTAGACCACTGCAAAGCCACTAATTAGGTGATGCTAGCTGCAAGCATAGCCTACATCATGCAGATCTTGAGAGAGATGAACTCAAAGTTGTCAACAGTGATGGACAGCTGCTGGATCAGTGCCACCAAGTTGGTCTGGCTTGAGATGAGCAGTTGTGCATGTCATTAGCAAAGCTTTGTAGCTTTTCATGCAAGTTTTCAATTTCAGCGCAACTAGCTTTGCAGTTTTGCAGCAGTTTTGCAGTTTGCCACAAGCTAATTAAGGAGCTGATCGAGATGCAGCAAGTCACACAGATGTGCAGAGGCACCTGTACCAGTTGATGCTGGACTGGGAGGAGAGTAGCCCAGCTTGGGTTTAGAAGTTGTTCAAGCAGATGTGGACACAGTTGATTGTTTGGTGGGTCCTTTTTCAATAGTTACACAGTTGCCAGTCAGCCAGTTAGCTGAGGTTCAAACTGGTCTGGTGCCAAAGCATTCACAAGTATGTTGCTGCAATACAGGGCAGCTCCCACACATGCCACAGATGCAGCCAGCTACATGGCAGAGTGGGACCTGGCAGTGAGGTCTGCACAGTTGCAGGTGCAGATTTGCATTTGGGAGAAGAGGTTTCTAAGAGACTCTTGGCTTAGTGATGAGCTTTCTTTGGTTGTAGTTAGTTCTGCCACATTTTACTTTAAAGGGGGGCATATAACTAGGTGTTTAGTAGGGAATTAGCACTAGCTTTGGGTAGCAGTAGCCTTTGGGGTAGTGGCCATTAGCAGTTCTAGTCAGCTCAGAAGTTGACCGATGACACGATCACCTTCAAAGATGTCATGGCTGAGCAGAATGCCTTGCTGAACACCATTCGGCCAGAGTTGAAGAAGGTGCAGTTCAACCCAGTGCCCTGAAGCAAGTCATGTTACATGCAACGGTTTTTTTAATGGTGGAGAGAAGCAGGGAAAGAGAAATATAAACAAGCTGCCTCACAACTGCTTTAATTATTAGTTAATCAGTTTCCTTTCCACTGAGCCAAAGACCCTTTGCAGGATGCACCATCAGATGAGCTTGTGCAGAAAGCTGCTCCATGGTCCATAGCTGTGGCAGAGTGGGAGTCCACCATTGAGAAGTTGGAGGTGTTGATGTGCCCTGTTATTTATTCAGATGTGTTTTTGCATTTGAGTTGGCTGCAGTTGCTTTGGCTTGTGTTCATTCTCTTTGTGTAGCTTCATCAGTTGGTTAGGTTGTAAGTTTCTTTTACTGAGTGGCGCCAGCTGCAGGCACAAAGCTGGCCACTTCAAGATGGATTGGTGTATAGTTGCACAGATGCCAGAGGCACCAAAGCTGATGACAGAAGGGAAGCTAAAGCTTGAGATCAGTGAGTTGGAGAAGCTGCAAGCTTACTGGGAAAGCCAGCCAAGAAGGTGAGAAGATAGAGTTAGCTGTTCCTGAGATAGTTGGGAAAGAATCAGTAATTAGCTTGCTATCCTGATAGAGTGTTTCAAAGTTACATAGAAGCCGTTGGTTTTCAGAATTGCTGGGGCCAGGTGAGTACAGCACTTCATTGCAGAAGCTGATCAGTTGCAGTTTTGCAGGGACAGCTCTTTTGGCCAACGGCCTACAGCTGGCTGCTACAATATGATGTTTTCCAGCTGGGGGCTGTTTGAAACTAGTTGTTGGAACCAGTAGTTGCCAGTTTGTCTTGGTCACAGAGAATTGCTGCTTTGTTTGGAGTAGGCCCAGAAAAGCTAAGTCAGTTATTAATTCATTTCCATGCCAGAGATGGCAAGGACTCCATAAAAGCACTGACAAAAGGATTCTGAGCCAGGTCAATGGTTTGGCATGGAGTTGCCAGCTTGAAGGTGTGAGGTGTTGCATGGAGTTGCCAGCTTGAAGGTGTGAGGTTTTGCATGGAGTTGCCAGCTTGAAGGTGTGAGGTTTTGCATGGAGTTGCCAGCTTGAAGGTGTGAGGTTTTGCATGGAGTTGCCAGCTTGAAGGTGTGAGGTTTTGCAGGAGTTGCCAGCTTGAAGGTGTGAGTTTTGCAGTGTCAGACTTTGGTGCAGCTGATCTTCAGATCAAGTTTACAACAAGCTCATTCTACACAGCAGTAACTACTAATTAGCAAGCAGTGAAAGACACACAAACACAAACCACAGCTGACCAGCTGGCAAAGATAGCTAACCACACAGTCAGTTGCAGGGCAGATTGAAAAGCATCCAGGTGTGGCTCAAGATGGCAGATGGACAAGCTGGACAAAAGAAGCTGGCAGAGGACTGACTGAGCAGCAGAGGAAAGGGGGAAGGGGAGTTAATTGATTGCTAGCTAAATGCAACAGATCCTTGGCTCAAGCAGAGGCCCTAGTTGATTTTGGAGCCATGTGGCCAGATGGAGATGCAGTTGTGGAAGTCTTTTGGAGGAACTGGCAAGGTGAGTTTGTGCTAGTTCAGAAGAGAGAGAGTGGGTGGGAAGATAGAGTTTCTCTCAGAGTTGTTGCTCCTGACTTGTTTGGGTCCATAGGTGACCCAAAGTATGTGAGTTTTGGAGCATTTATACTAGAGCTGGAGCTGGAGAGGAACATCCCAGATCATGGAGATGAGTGTGTAGCTAGCAGAGCTGTGTGCAGGTTCCTGCAGTTACAGCGCAATTAGCCTGAGTTGTGCAAAACAATGCTTGGGTGTTCTCAGACGTTGTAGTTTGCTTGTTGTGGTGTGCCACAGTTGCCAGCTTGCCATTGTGTGTGCTTGATTGAGTTGCCATTGAAGATCAAGCTTCAAGGTGTGATGATTAGTTGAGTCGCCTCAGAGATGGAGACAACTATGCAGATGGTGGCGCTCACACAGATGGTCTCAGTTATGATCCTTGCAGGCACAGTTGTGTACTTCAGCATGAAGATGTCAGAGCTGCAGAAGTTGCTCATCATGAGGGAGGTGCACTTCAGTGATAAGTTAGATTCTCTGAAGAACAGCTTCTATGAAGCCCTAGCTTTGGGAAAGGTAGATCTTGAGAAAGAAAGTTCTCCATGGCTAGAGCCAGACAAAGATGAAGATGAGCATGCAGGTAGTGAGACAAGTTCATAGCCATAAAGGATGGCAGCCAGCCAGAGAGAACAAATGCAGCTTGAGAGGGGTGTGTGAGGCAGGTTTGCATGAGGTCATTGGCCAGCTTGTGAGGCAGGTTTGCATGAGGTAATTGGCCAGCTTGAGAGTGGAGTTTGAGGCAGGTTGGTAGGAGTTTGAGGCAGTGCATGAGGCAGCTAGCTTGGGAGAGGTGAGCCAAGTGCAATGCCTGCCAGGACTTGGAAAGAGCTGAAGCAGCAAAAGAAGCTGCCACCCAAGGTGGAGCTGAGGACCCCATTGGGAGGGGAAGGGGGTGATCTTAATTAAGTTTAGCGGGTTGGAGTAATTAACTGCAATAGGAGGCTGTATCTTTTAGAGGGGGGCATGCATCAAGACTTTATTGTGAGGGCCCCTGGAATAAAGTCCTGGGCTTAAAATTTGGGGGCTTGAAGTACTACCCCCTTTGTGGGTTTGATGGATGGCAGTTTTTAAACAAGAGGCTTGAGTTTGGGCAAGCTGTGCAGTTTGGTTTCTGGGGAGAAAGCAACAAGCTTCATGGGATTGTGTGTGAAGTTGGCCAGGTAGTTAGCTAAGAGGTAACTGCATTTAGGAAGTTGCTTCTTTCAGGGGGGGGCCATGCATCAAGACTTTATTGTGAGGGCCCCTGGAATAAAGTCCTGGGCTTAAAATTTGGGGGCTTGAAGTACTACCCCCTTTGTGGGTTTGATGGATGGCAGTTTTTAAACAAGAGGCTTGAGTTTGGGCAAGCTGTGCAGTTTGGTTTTTGGGGAGAAAGCAACAAGCTTCATGGGGTTGTGTGTGAAGTTGGCCAGGTAGTTAGCTAAGAGGTAACTGCATTTAGGAAGTTGCTTCTTTCAGGGGGGGGCCATGCATCAAGACTTTATTGTGAGGGCCCCTGGAATAAAGTCCTGGGCTTAAAATTTGGGGGCTTGAAGTACTACCCCCTTTGTGGGTTTGATGGATGGCAGTTTTTAAACAAGAGACATGTAAGAAACCTTGAGTTTGGGCCAGGTGTGCAGTTTGGATTTTGGGGAGAAAGCAACAAGCTTCACCAGCATCACCTGGGATTGTGTGTGAAGTTGGCTAGGTAGTTAGCCAAGAGGTAACTGCATTTAGGAAGTTGCATTTTTCAAGGGGGCCATGCATCAAGACTTTATTGTATAGGGGCCCCTGGAATAAAGTCTTGGGCTGAAAATTTGGGGGCTTGAAGTACTACCCCCTTTGTGGGTTTGATGGATGGCAGTTTTTAAACAAGAGACATGTAAGAAAACTTGAGTTTGGGCAAGGTCTGCAGTTTGGATTGGGGAAGAAAGCAACAAGCTTCACCAGCATCACCTGGGATTGTGTGTGAAGTTGGCTAGGTAGTTAGCCAAGAGGTAACTGCATTTAGGAAGTTGCATTTTTCAGGGGGGGACCATGCATCAAGACTTTATTGTAAGGGCCCCTGGAATAAAGTCTTGGGCTTAAAATTTGGGGGCCTTGAAGTACTACCCCCTTTGTGGGTTTGATGGATGGCAGCTTTTAAACAAGAGACATGTAAGAAAACTTGAGTTTGGGCAAGGTCTGCAGTTTGGATTTTGGGGAGAAAGCAACAAGCTTCACCAGCATCACCTGGGATTGTGTGTGAGGTTTGGCAGGTAATTGTTTAGCCCAAGAGGGTAACTGCATTTTAGGAAGTGTCCATCTTTCAGGGGGGGCCATGCATCAAGACTTTATTGTAAGGGCCCCTGGAATAAAGTCTTGGGCTGAAAATTTGGGGGCTTGAAGTACTACCCCCTTTGTGGGTTTGATGGTGGGCAGCTGGAGAGGGGAGTTTGAGGCAGGTTTGCATGAGGTCATTGGTCAGCTTGAGAAGGGTTGGGAGGAGTTTGAGGCAGTGCATGAGGCAGCTAATTAGCTTGGGAGATGTGGTCAGAGACTGAGCCAAGTGCAATGCCTGCCAGGACTTGAAAAGAGTTGAAGCTGCAAAAGAAGCTGCCACCCAAGGTGGAGCTGAGGACCCCATTGGGAGGGGAAGGAGGTGATCTTAATTAAGTTCAGCGGGTTGGAGTAATTAATTAACTGCAATAATTAGGAGGCTGTATCTTTTAGAGGGGGGCACGCATCAAGACTTTATTGTGAGGGCCCCTGGAATAAAGTCTTGGGCTGAAAATTTGGGGGCTTGAAGTACTACCCCCTTTGTGGGTTTGATGGATGGCAGTTTTTAAACAAGAGACATGTAAGAAAACTTGAGTTTGGGCAAGGTGTGCAGTTTCGTTTTTGGGGAGAAAGCAACAAGCTTCACCAGCATCACCTGGGATTGTGTGTGAAGTTGGCTAGGTAGTTAGCCAAGAGGTAACTGCATTTAGGAAGTTGCATTTTTCAGGGGGGGGCCATGCATCAAGACTTTATTGTAGGGGCCCCTGGAATAAAGTACTTGGGCTGAAAATTTGGGGCTTGGAAGCTACTACCCCACTTTGTTTAACCCCCCCCCCCCCCCCCCCCCCCCCCCCCCCACCCCCCCCCCCCCCCCCATATATATATATACCTCTTTTCTGGTTTGATGGATGGCCAGCTTGTTAAACAAGAGGCATGTAAGAAAACTTTGTAGTTTGGGCAAGGTATGCAGTTTGGATTTTGGGGAGATAGCAACAAGGCTCTCCTGCATCAGATCACCTGGGATTTTTTGTGTGTGAAGTTGGCCTAGGTATTATAGTTAGCCCAAGAGGTTACTGGCATTGAGGAAGTTGCATGTTTCAGGGGGGGGTCTTATGCATCAATACTTTATTATAGGGGGCCCCCTGGAATAAAGTCTTGCGGCTGAAAAATTTGGGGCGTCTGCAGTAGTACTACCCCCTTGTGGGTTTGATGGATGGCAGTTTTTAAACAAGAGACATGTAAGAAAACTTGAGTTTGGGCAAGGTCTGCAGTTTGGATTTTGGGGAGAAAGCAACAAGCTTCACCAGCATCAGCATCACCTGGGATTGTGTGTGAAGTTGGCTAGGTAATTAGTTAGCCAAGGGGTAACTGCATTTAGGAAGTTGCATGTTTCAGGGGGGGGTCCATGCATCAAGACTTTATTATAGGGGCCCCTGGAATAAAGTCTTGGGCTGAAAATTTGGGGGTGAGTAGTACTACCCCCTTTGTGGGTTTGATGGATGGCAGCTTTTAAACAAGAGACATGTAAGACAACTTGAGTTTGGGCAAGGTCTGCAGTTTGGATTTTGGGGAGAAATGATAAAGCTTACCCAGCATCACCTGGGATTGTGTGTGAAGTTGGCTAGGTAGTTAGCCAAGAAGTAACTGCAATTAGGGAGAGTTGCTATTTTTTCGAGGGGGGGAACATGCACATCATAGACTTTGATTTTAGGGGCGCCCCTGGAATAAAGTCTTGGGCTGAAAATTTGGGGGTGAGTAGTACTACCCCCTTTGTGGGTTTGATGGATGTGAAGTTGGCTAGGTAGTTAGCCAAGAGGTAACTGCATTTAGGAAGTTGCATGTTTCAAGGGGGGACCATGCATCAAGACTTTATTGTAGGGGCCCTTGGAATAAAGTTTTGGGAGTTGAGTTCTAAGTTGGTTTGTCATGCAGGCTGGCATGAGGCATGAAGCATAAAGGTTTGGGATTGCACCTGCAGCTGCCTTTTCACGAGTTCCAGCTCACAGCTAGCAGAGATCACAGCTCAGCTACAGCAGCTTGCCCTCCATAGCACTTTTTAAAGATCAAGTTTTCTGATTTTGTGCAAGTTCAGTCTTCTATGCTAATTTTGTTTTTTTGTTAGCTGGCGCTGCTCAGGTTGGAAGATGAGCATGCTTCAGAAGATGAAGAACATGATGAAGAAGATGATGAAGAAGATGAAGGTGGAGATCTTTGTGGTTTTGGCAGCTCTCATAGGTGGCATAGTTGCAAAGGGAGGCCCAGCTTGAATTAGCACAGCTGTATTCTCTTTGTTTCTTTGCTGACTAATTGGTTAAATCTCAGTTGGTTAGTTGGTGTTTTCCCACATCAACATAGACAAGTGGAGTTCATTACTGAGATTTCACTCTAGACAGCGAAAGTTAAGCAGCCTTGCAGCCCAGGCTGCAGCATGTGGGGCAGTTGCCTGGGTTTTGGTGAAGATCCAGCAGATGAGCGAGTTGCTCCAGACTATCATGGATAGTTGCTGGATTAGTGCATCAAAGCTCACCTTCTTGGAGGTGAGCAGCTAGGCTTGCTAGGTATTAGCAAATTGTCATTTTTGGAAACTAATTAGTTAGTTAAGTTGTGCAAGCTTTCAGTTTTGTTTACTTTGGCACATCCTAGGGGCAGATCGAGATGCAGCCAGCACAGGTGACTTGCTGAGGCACCTGTCACAGACCATAGGTGAGTGGCAGGAGAGTGGCATGGCTTAATTAGTTACATTGAGAGCTTTTTTGAAAAGCTTGGTTGTTATTTTGCTATGTTGCCACAAATTAGCAAAGGTGCATTTTGTTAATCTGGGCAAAGCTGAGGCAAGCTGTGGGAAGGTTCCAGAGCATTCAAGTCAGCTTTGCTGCACTGGAGGACAGCAAAGGTGAAGGAAGGTGGTGCAGAGTTCATGGCAGAGTGGGACTTGATAGTTCGGGCAGCGTGCTTCAAGATCAAAGCTTATGTCTGGGAGCAGAGGTTCATGCGAGCAACTTGAAATGACTTTGGCAAGAGTTTTTGGTAATTAGTCAACTAGTTAGTTAAACTGCAAAGTGATAATCAGTTAATTAACTACTTAAGTAATTAGGTTTCTAATTAGAGCAGTTGCAGACAGTTTGCCAGCAAAGAAGCTAAAGATTTAATCAGGTAATTACAAGATGTGAAAGAGTTTAATCATTTCCAATAGCCTGCCTTTGCTAAGGAGCTGTTCCAGCAAGAGATCGATGAAAAGGAGCTCCAGCTGGAGGAAGAGAGTTTGAAGAACACCATCAGGCCAGAGATCAAGATGGTGCAGTTCAACCCAGTCACCTGGCAAAGTTTTATGTATGTTTTCAGGAAGCTGGTTGCTTTGTTGGGTGAGTTGTTTTTGTCCTGAGTGGCTGCTGACAGGGAGCTGGAGAGGAAGAGCTTGCTGAAAAAGCTGCCCCGTGGTCCACAGCTTGGCAAGAGCTTGGGGGAGTTCTTGACAAGATCACGAACCTGAAGTTCCTTGGCACAGGTAACACACCATTTTTAGTTAATTTGTTTATGCAATTGATTTTGTTTGGGTGGGCTTGACATGTTTAATTTGAGCAACGCTTGAGGAGGAAAGTTGAGCACTTTCAGATCATCTCATGGGCCAAGTTGACAAAGATGCCAGATGTGCCAGCAGAGATGACAAGTGGCAAGGTAAAGCAGGAGATTCAAGAGCTTGATGCAAAGGTTAAGTTGATGAAACAAGAAGGCAAGATCAAGGCAGTTTAACCAGATGAGCTGCAAAAGTGCAAGTTGGCCCTGGCTTGTAGTTAGTTGAGCTGGGACTGCATAGTTTGGTTGGTATACAGCTTTGTTTGCAAAGAACAAGTTCCAACTGCAACACAAAGTTTTCTTATCTTAGAATTGCTAGGGCCAGTTGCAAATGCAGCATGCAAAGGTTTTTTGAGTTGGACCAGCCTGGTGCAGGTACAGTTGCAAGTAGAGCTTTCCTTGGCAAGTTGATGGCAGCATCCAGCTAGGTGCTAGGCTGTGCCGCTTTCTGGCTTGGAGCTGCTGGGAGTTTTGCACATGTTGCTAGTTGAGCACGAGTTGGTTGAAAGGTTCAAGCCATTGGAAAGCTCCTGCAGGTATAGTTGAGATGCCCAGCGCTTGGCAAAAAAGCGTGCAGGCTGACAGCTGTATGAAGAGGCAACAGGTATTTGACTAACAGGGTGAGTTTTAGGTTCTGGGGCAGCTGTTAAGAAAAGTAATGAGATTCTGGCACTTGGCAGGACTTGGAGGAAGCTGAAGATGAAGCTGAAGATGAAGCTGAAGCAGAAGGTGGAGCTGAGGCCTGGTGTGAGGCAGGTTTGCATGAGGTCATTGGCCAGCTGGGAGGGTTGGTAGGAGGTTGAGGCAGGTTTGCATGAGGTCATTGGTCAGCTTGAGAAGGGTTGGGAGGAGTTTGAGGCAGTGCATGAGGCAGCTAGTTTGGGAGATGTGGTCAGAGGCTGAGCCAAGTGCAATGCCTGCCAGGACTTGGAAAGAGCTGAAGCTGCAAAAGAAGCTGCCACTCAAGGTAAAGCTGAGGACCCCATTGGGAGGGGAAGGAGGTGATCTTAATTAAGTTTAGCGGGTTGGTGTAGTTAATTAACTGCAATAGGAGGTTGATCTTTTAGAGGGGGGCATGCATCAAGACTTTATTGTGAGGGCCCCTGGAATAAAGTCTTGGGCTGAAAATTTGGGGGCTTGAAGTACTACCCCCTTTGTGGGTTTGATGGATGGCAGTTTTTAAACAAGAGACAGGTAAGAAAACTTGAGTTTGGGCAAGCTGTGCAGTTTGGATTTTGGGGAGAAAGCAACAAGCTTCACCAGCATCAGCATCACTCACCTGGGATTGTGTGTGAAGTTGGCTAGGTAGTTAGCCAAGAGGTAACTGCATTTAGGAAGTTGCATTTTTCAGGGGGGGACCATGCATCAAGACTTTATTGTACGGGCCCCTGGAATAAAGTCTTGGGCTGAAAATTTGGGGGCTTGAAGTACTACCCCCTTTGTGGGTTTGATGGTGGGCAGCTGGAGAGGGGAGTTTGAGGCAGGTTTGCATGAGGTCATTGGTCAGCTTGAGAAGGGTTGGGAGGAGTTTGAGGCAGTGCATGAGGCAGCTAATTAGCTTGGGAGATGTGGTCAGAGACTGAGCCAAGTGCAATGCCTGCCAGGACTTGAAAAGAGTTGAAGCTGCAAAAGAAGCTGCCACTCAAGGTGGAGCTGAGGACTTCATTGGGAGGGGAAGGAGGTGATCTTAATTAAGTTCAGCGGGTTGGAGTAATTAATTAACTGCAATAATTAGGAGGCTGTATCTTTTAGAGGGGGGCACGCATCAAGACTTTATTGTGAGGGCCCCTGGAATAAAGTCTTGGGCTGAAAATTTGGCGGGAGGCTTGATAGTCCTTACCCCCTTTGGGGGTTTGATGCGATGGCAGTTTTTTTTTTAAACAAGAGAATGTAAGAAAACTTGCGAGATGGGCAAGTTGTGCAGTTTGAAAAATCTGCCTCGTGCAAAAAAGAACAAGCTTCACCAGATCACCTGGGATTGTGTGTGAAGTTGGCTAGGTAGTTAGCCAAGAGGTAACTGCATTTAGGAAGTTGCATGTTTCAGGGGGGGGTCCATGCATCAAGACTTTATTATAGGGGCCCCTGGAATAAAGTCTTGGGCTTAAAATCTGGGGGCTTGAAGTACTACCCCCTTTGTGGGTTTGATGGTGGGCAGTTTTTAAACAAGAGACATGTAAGAAAACTTGAGTTTGGGCAAGGTCTGCAGTTTGGATTTTGGGGAGAAAGCAACAAGCTCACCAGCATCAGCATCACCTGGGATTGTGTGTGAAGTTGGCTAGGTAATTAGTTAGCCAAGAGGTAACTGCATTTAGGAAGTTGCATGTTTCAGGGGGGGGTCCATGCATCAAGAACTTTATTATAGGGGCCCCTGGACTGAAATTTATAATGTCTTGGGCTGAAAATTTGGTGGGGGCTGTAGTACTACACCCTTTGTGGGGTTTTGTTGGATGGCTGTTTTTAAAAAAGAGACATGTAAGAAAACTTGAGTTTGGGCAAGGTCTGCAGTTTGGATTTTGGGAGAAGAGCAGAGCTTCACCCAGCCATCAGCATCACCTGGGATTGTGTGTGAAGTTGGCTATGGTAAATTAGTTAGCCAAGAGGTAACTGCATTTTAGGAAGTTTGCATGTTTCAGGTGGGGGGGGTCCATGCATCAAGACTTTATTATAGGGGCCCCCTGGAATAAAGTCTTGGGCTGAAAATTTGGGGGTTTGAGTAGTATGACCCCCTTTGTGGGTTTGATGGATGGCAGCTTTTAAACAAGAGACATGTAAGAAAACTTGAGTTTGGGCAAGGTCTGCAGTTTGGATTTTGGGGAGAAATGATAAAGCTTACCCAGCATCACCTGGGATTGTGTGTGAAGTTGGCTAGGTAGTTAGCCAAGAGGTAATTAACTGCATTTAGGAAGTTGCATCTTTCAGGGGGGGGACCATGCATCAAGACTTTATTATAGGGGCCCCTGGAATAAAGTCTTGGGCTTAAAATTTTGGGGGCTGAAGTACTACCCCCTTTGTGGGTTTGATGGATGGCAGCTTTTAAAGAAGAGACATGTAAGAAAACTTGAGTTTGGGCAAGGTCTGCAGTTTGGATTTTGGGGGAGAAAGCAACAAGCTTCACCAGCATCAGCATCACCTGGGATTGTGTGTGAAGTTGGCTAGGTAATTAATTAGCCAAGAGGTAGCTGCATTTAGGAAGTTGCATCTTTCAGGGGGGGGACGATGCATCAAGAGTTTATTGTAGGGGCCCCTGGAATAAAGTCTTGGGCTTAAAATTTGGGGGCTGAAGTACTACCCCCTTTGTGGGTTTGATGGATGGCAGTTTTTAAACAAGAGACATGTAAGAAAACTTGAGTTTGGGCAAGGTCTGCAGTTTGGATTTTGGGGGAGAAAGCAACAAGCTTCACCAGCATCAGCATCACCTGGGATTGTGTGTGAAGTTGGCTAGGTAATTAATTAGCCAAGAGGTAACTGCATTTAGGAAGTTGCATCTTTCAGGGGGGGGACCATGCATCAAGACTTTATTATAGGGGCCCCTGGAATAAAGTCTTGGGCTTAAAATTTGGGGGCTGAAGTACTACCCCCTTTGTGGGTTTGATGGATGGCAGTTTTTAAACAAGAGACATGTAAGAAAACTTGAGTTTGGGCAAGCTGTGCAGTTTGGTTTTTGGGGAGAAAGCAACAAGCTTCATGGGATTGTGTGTGAAGTTGGCCAGGTAGTTAGCTAAGAGGTAACTGCATTTAGGAAGTTGCTTCTTTCAGGGGGGGGCCATGCATCAAGACTTTATTGTGAGGGCCCCTGGAATAAAGTCCTGGGCTTAAAATTTGGGGGCTTGAAGTACTACCCCCTTTGTGGGTTTGATGGATGGCAGTTTTTAAACAAGAGACATGTAAGAAACCTTGAGTTTGGGCAAGGTGTGCAGTTTGGATTTTGGGGAGAAAGCAACAAGCTTCACCAGCATCACCTGGGATTGTGTGTGAAGTTGGCTAGGTAGTTAGCCAAGAGGTAACTGCATTTAGGAAGTTGCTTCTTTCAGGGGGGGGCCATGCATCAAGACTTTATTGTGAGGGCCCCTGGAATAAAGTCTGGGCTTAAAATTTGGGGGCTTGAAGTACTACCCCCTTTGTGGGTTTGATGGATGGCAGTTTTTAAACAAGAGACATGTAAGAAACCTTGAGTTTGGGCAAGGTGTGCAGTTTGGATTTTGGGGAGAAAGCAACAAGCTTCACCAGCATCACCTGGGATTGTGTGTGAAGTTGGCTAGGTAGTTGGCCAAGAGGTAACTGCATTTAGGAAGTTGCATGTTTCAAGGGGGCCATGCATCAAGACTTTATTGTGAGGGCCCCTGGAATAAAGTCCTGGGCTTAAAATTTGGGGGCTTGAAGTACTACCCCCTTTGTGGGTTTGATGGATGGCAGTTTTTAAAGAAGAGACATGTAAGAAAACTTGAGTTTGGGCAAGGTCTGCAGTTTGGATTTTGGGGAGAAAGCAAGAAGCTTCACCAGCATCAGCATCACCTGGGATTGTGTGTGAAGTTGGCTAGGTAGTTGGCCAAGAGGTAACTGCATTTAGGAAGTTGCATTTTTCAGGGGGGGACCATGCATCAAGACTTTATTGTAAGGGCCCCTGGAATAAAGTCTTGGGCTGAAAATTTGGGGGCTTGAAGTACTACCCCCTTTGTGGGTTTGATGGATGGCAGTTTTAAACAAGAGACATGTAAGAAAACTTGAGTTTGGGCAAGGTCTGCAGTTTGGATTTTGGGGAGAAAGCAACAAGCTTCACCAGCATCAGCGTCACTCACCTGGGATTGTGTGTGAAGTTGGCTAGGTAATTAGCCAAGAGGTAACTGCATTTAGGAAGTTGCATCTTTCAGGTCAGGGGGGGGGCCATGCATCAAGACTTTATTATAGGGGCCCCTGGAATAAAGTCTTGGGATAGGACATGTTGCATACAGCATAATGAGGTAGTAGGTTGTCAAGTTTGAAGCTTGCTTTTGACAGGAAGCAAAGGCACAGGCCATGGAGATCTTAGCAAAAGCACAGGCACAAGCAGATGAGATGTTGAGACAGGCCCAGGAACAAGCTCAGAAGATGATAAGCCAAAGCAGGGCCACTGAGGTCAAGACCCACAGGTCCAACAGTGGCAGCTTCAAAACACCAGAAGGAAAGACAACAGCTTACAGAAAGATCAACAGTGGCCCACAGTCTGCGAGTCCAAGCCCAGGCACAGTTGCTGAACAGAGCCCAGCCAGCACTGGCAGCAGTGGCAGGAAGCAGTTCAGCTTGAAGAGGTTTTGGGGGGGAGGTGAAAGCACAGATCACAAGCCAGTCATGGAGCTAGCTTGGGGGTCAAAAAGGCGACAAAAAAGCAAAGCCCAGCTAGAAGCAGAGCAGTTGAAAGCAGAATATGAGCAAAAGCTTGCAAGTATAAAACCACAGCATGAACAAGATGAAGGTTACACAGCTTGGATCCAGAAAAGAAGAAAGCTTGGAGGAAGACCAAGAGCTGAAGAGCAAACAGTTTTGCAGGAGCACAGAGGACTCTTAGGAGGCAAGAAAAGCAACAGGAGACAAGTTGCAGAGCCACCTAGAAAAAGGGAGATGACTGCTCAAGAGAAGCTGGAGATTGCAAACTTCATAGAGGAACAGAAGCAGAGCTGTGCTGATGAGGGTGAGCTCTACCAGATAGCTTCTCAAAAGTACGGACTAGACAAAAGGAGGCTGAGAGATATGCGTGCAAGAATGGCAGAGTGGCATACCCTCACAAGGGAGGAGCCAAGAGAGGTAGCAAAGCAAAGAGAATCAGGAGCAGGCGAGGTATCAGAGCTTTGGGAGGAGGAAGAAAGAATGACTTTGCAGAGGAGATTGAGAAGCTGGGAAAGTGGCTATCTGAAGAGAGGAGCAATGGCCACAACATCAGCAAGAGAGAGGTCAGGGAAGAGTTCTACTGTCTCCTAGTTGCAAGGTCTGAAAGATGCTTGGTGCAAGCTCAACAAAGCACAGATGAGCTTCAGAAGAAGTTGTGGGAGCTTGAAGCAGCAAAGTCACTGGAGAGGAAGAAGAAGTTGCAGAACAGCAAGAGCTATGCACAGAGTTACACAGATGACCTCTTGAAGTGGATGGGGGCAAAGTTCATGTCCAAGGAGCAGACCACCCCACTAGCTCCATTGGAGCAAAAGGTGCGAGCACAGCTGAGCTTCCAATCCATAGATCACAAGCTGTGGCTCATGGGAGCAGCTCCCAAAGAAGAGCTACAGTCAGCTCAGATAGTCTCAGATGTTGACCAGGTGATATCAAACCGGCACAGATTGTGCATAGGCATGTCAGATCAAGTTCCTCTGTGGGCCAAAAGTCCCTCCACCAGAGTTGTGTTTGCAAAGGAAGATCTGCAAGGAGTTGGGGCTGAGGTGAGGAGGGAGTTCAACACTTGCAGGGAAGAGCTGAAGGCTGCACAGGAAGCTTGGAAAGAAGGTGGCTTGCAGTTGGTCACAGGTACAGATGGAGGTGAGTCAGCTGGCAAACGTGTTGCTGGCAGCAGAGTTTTGAAGGGAGACAGCGCTGCTGAGAAGTTTCGCATAACCTATGAGGCCAGGCAGAGGGTGACCAACATAGCTAACAAAGAGGAGCTGCAAGGACAGGTGCTTCCTGGACTGTTGGTTTTCCCTGGAAAGCACAACAGATTGAGCAATGTAGATGAGAATTGCAAGTACAAGAGAACAGAGAAGTTTGAAGTGAAAGGTGTGGAGGTGGAGCACCAAGCTGGACAGAAGTGCAGAGGCTTAGCTTGGGCAGTTGAGCTGAGGAAGCAGTTTCCAAAAGAGTTTGAAGAGGTGGAGATCATGACACAGCCCAGTTCCAACTGCGATGGAGTTTTGCTAGCATGGATAGTTGAAGAGCAATGTGAAGAAGAGATTTGCAGCTTGTGGATCAGAGATTGCTTCAGTGCAGTTTTCCAGGAACAAGTTGTGCAAAGGCAGTTCACAGGTTGCCAAGCAAGCGCGCAGATCCTGGGGAAGATGACACAGCAGCTTCAGTTGACAGATACTGATTTTGCCAAGAGCTTCAAAGCTAGTTTCAGAAAGCAGCTTGAGGAGCAAAGATTAGCAGCTAAGAAAGGTGGCACAGAGTACAAGATTGGCTACAAAGAGATCATCCTTGCCACAGTTGGAGCTCAGAGAGATGCAGTTCAAAGACAGGTTGACAAAGATTGGATTGTGGGTGGGAGTGTGAGGAATGGCCTAATAGCTTTCAAAGCTTCACCAGAGGAAGGAAAGCTTGTGCCCTTTCTGGATGAAAGTTGGGCCAAAGAAAGAGGTCTGGCACAGGGGTCAAAGAGAATTCCCAACAGTTGGCTGGAGCCGAGGTTCAGCTGGGTCAAAGATGGAATTCCACTGCCTGCAGATTTTGCCCTGAGTTGCAGTGCCACACAGGTGGCTGACTTGATAGAGTGGAGCTACAAGAACCCAAGTGCAGAAGATGAAGATGGAGATGCAGATGGAGGTGGAGACACCCTTGACATATCCAATGAAGATGAGATAGCAACAGAGCTGCAAGTTCCACTTTGGAACAGTTTGTTCCTGAGGATGAGCCCAGATTTGAGAAGAGCTCACATCAGAAGGAAAGCTCAGCAAGATAGTTGGCAAGAGCTTGTCAAGTTGGCAATCGCCAAGGCAAAGATGAAAGCTGCCAGGCAAGCTGCAAGGAAAGCTGCTTTAAGGCTGAGTTTTGCAGAGATCAGGAACAAGCTGGCAAAGATGTCAAAGCGAGAAGCCATGGCAGACATAGTTCCAGTTGCACAAGCAAAGGCCAAGGCAAAGGGGAAGCTCAAGCCTTCAGCAAAGTTGAAGCCCTCTGTGGTCCTCAAAGCTTCTTGCAAAGCAAAGCCAAGTGTGAAGGAGAAAGGTAGCCTTGTAAAGAAAGAGTTAGCCAAGAACAGCAAGAAAAGCGCCAAGGACAAAGCTTTGCTGCTAGCCTTGAAAGATGATAAAAAAGCAGAAGCTGTGAAGCAGGCAGAGGCTGCAAAGGCTGCAGCAGAGCCAGTTGAGGACCTGCAGTTGCATTTCAAGAAAGGAGAGGAGTTGAGAGTTGTGAAGGAAGAAGCAGGTGCCTTGCAGTATGGCAACGACGGCAGCTTTCAAAATGCACATCCAGATGGCAAAGCTTCAATCTTCACAGATCATGGTGTGTTGAGTTGCCAGCTGCAGCACTTGGAGTTGAACGGCAGTTCCTGGAAGAAGGCAGCTGTGTGGAAGCAGTTCACACAGCTTGGCAGGTTGAAAAAGCAGGAGTTCCTGCAGCTTTCAGAGTTGAAGCAGAAGCAGTTGTGCCACAGCCACCAAAGATGAACCTGCTGGAGGGTAGCCACTCAGATGGCAGTTCTCAGGCCATGAGTTTTTGGAGAGCTGCCAGCTTGTGGATGCAGAGTGCACCTACAAGATTGACAAAGAAGAAAGGTGGAAAGAAGAGATTCAGAAGCTGGCAAGCAACAAGATGCACATTTTTGTGCCAGTTCTGGGCAGCCCAGCTCACTGGGCCTTGCTAGTTGGCCACAGGTCCAGTCCAGATGCAGCCTGGCAGTTCTGTTACAGAGACACCTTGGCAGATGAGCATGCAGATTGCAAGCACAAGGCAGCAATAGCAATGCAAGCCCTGACAGCTGCCTCAGAGTTGCCAGAAGTGCCAGCCAGGTGCAACAGCTGCAGGCAAACAGCCTCAGAAAGTGGCCAGCTAGTTCTGTCTTACATTGAGGCAGAGCTGGCAGAGCTAGCTTCAGAAGGCCCAGCTTCCAGAGGCTGGCCAGGTGTGCTGGCCCAGAGCTGGGACAAGAGGTTGGAAGCACTGTACAAGCAGTTGCAGCTAGAAGTTGAGAAAGTTCATGCAGAAGTGGCCAAAGCAAAAGAAAAGGAAAAGAAGCTTGAAGAGCAGCAGGAGCAAAGAAGAATGAAAGCCTTGGAGATGCTTGCCAAGGCAAAAGATCAGAACTCCAAGACAGCTCAAGCAGCAAAGGCAGCTTTTGAGCAGAACTCACAGTATTTCACCCACAAAGATTTGAGCCCAGATGCCAGAGAGGCAGTTTGGAGAGCCAAAGCTGCACTTTTCAGGTGCTCAAAGTGCAGGTACACAGCCTGCCTAGCTTGCTGCCCAGAGAAAGCTTTGAGCTACTGGGTGAGGAAAGAAGCAGGTGCCAAGAGCAAGGTGCCAAAGATCCAAGGACCAGGGGTGGCTATCTCTCCTCTCCTTCCTGTCCTTTCTCTCTTTCTCTCTTCTTTTTTTGTGACTTTTTTGTGACTTTTTTGTGACTTTTTTTTTCATGGGTGGGCAGGGGCTTGTCTTTAATCCAGGTGCTTTTACTAATTATTTTGGGCCCCGAGAAGTCTTTATTACGCGTGCATTTTTTAATCCCATTTGGACATTAACTTGAATCGCATGGCGCTAACGCCACAGAAGACTCAAGCCACTCAAGCAAGAGACATGAGAGACGCAAGCACTCCAAAGCGAGCTGTTACCACCGACATCATCGTACTGCTATGATGGGACATCAGTCAAGCACATGAGTTTGAGCACATTGGTCTCTAGACTCCCTTACGCGTCTCCAGGCATTTTTCTGATCACGGACTAGCGTTCCTCTAGTTGCTTCAAAAGGGAAAATGAGAAGCAACAGCAATTCAGGGAGGCGACCAAAGGACTTTCTTTCACGTGATAAGGTCCTTTGTTGGACGACCGCTGAGAAGGCCGGACCCAGCTGAAGTTGGCCGCGGTATACACTCACCACACATACATCTACACCTGTTTGTACTACGTATGTGCATTTATACACACGTGCACGCAACTCACATCCACACAGACACAAAACCGCAAAAACAAAGAAACAACACATAAAGCATTACTTCTGTGGCACTGGCATGTTTGGCTGAGACAGCTGGTGCGTCCTGAAATGGCTCAGGTCCTGTTCAAATGGACCAGCTGGTGCAGATGATGGGTCGGCTGGATAGGCCTGGTCAAAGCTCCGACAAGCTTTGCAGGGCAATCCTGTACATGACGCCTGCCCGCATGGATGCTGCAATGGGCGGTTTGCATTCACATGGACATGCACGACGTGCGCATGAGCTTGCTCGTCCGTGCATCCTCGGTCCACTGTGTGCTTGCCCGTTTTACATCCACCCATCCATCCAGGCAGACATGCACAGAGGTGATCACCATTCGGAAGTTGAGTGGATCCAGCATCAGTCCAAACCAAGGAAGCGCACTCATGAAGAAGCGGCCGCCAACCTGCACCAAGCAGCCAGCCATAGTGTTGCACTTGTGGAGCCACTGCCAGGAGAGGTCGTTGCTGGAGGAACCACTGGGGCACTGAGGCATATCCGCGTATCAAGACCATTTCCACATTGACATGTTGGCGGACTTAATGATCTTCATGGTTGAAGTGTATGAAGTGCTTCCGGTTGAGGCCCACAAATGGAAGCTCCTGATATCCTGGTTGATTAGATTGTTTTCTTAGGTGGTATATACTAGTACAGGGTCGGTTGCTTGAGTGTGGGTACACCCCCCCCCTCCCTTTCCTGTAGCCTGACCGGACCGCCAAGGAAGTGGCACACCTTCAAAAGCACGCAGCCTTTTGGAGCCTGCACATCAAACCGGTTGCGCGGCTTATTGTGCTGGCAACCGCTGCGGCAGGTGAGCAGGACACCTTGCAAAGCAAACATGTTTGCAACCGCCCCGGGCTGCGTTTGGTTGTGAACTTCAGGCTGCTTTGGGGCAAGTAGGATGTAGTGGCACTAGTCTGCAAACTTGAGATGGGCTTGGCACCGCAGGATGTGGGCGAGAGGTACGAGCAACTGCTGAAAGGCGAGCAGAGTGAGCTCAAGGCCACGCCAGAGGAGGTCCAACAGCTGGCAGCCGCTTGTCAACAGCTTAACTAGTAGGGGGCATCCCATTTTGGAGGGGATCTTTAAACCAAAAGGATTCCGATGGTAGGCAGCAGCTAGGATAGCTTTTCTGAAGCTCCCTTCAGCCACTAGAAGCTGGCTCTCCAAGAACCCAGCTGGGAGGGTTCCCCCAAAGCTCCAGAAGCAGAGTTTGTTTACACCCCAGTCCGATGGGTGACGTCTATTCATGTGGCAAGGTGCTGCCTAGGCTCGGCATCTCAGAAGCTACTAAATTTGAATGGGAACCCTCTTTTCCGGATATCCGGATTGCATTGGAGCGTGACTTGGCGATCGAGGCAGCTCGACATGAGTCCGTTTGGCCGCACTCCTTCCCCTTCGGCTGGCGGTCTTGGGGATCTTTGCCAGCGCATCCCGTCAGCACTGCTGGGGTTCTAGCATGGTACTCCACCTTCCTCGTTTTCAACGCACGGTCGTTGGTGGAAACGCCAAGTTCAACAGTCTTGTGATGTAGGCGTCCATTAGCACAAAGGGCCTTCATTGCTTTCATTGAACAGGAGTTCAGTTTTTCCAGTTGGCTTCCGGTTTTCGCGCTCAGGAGCACCAAACGCGCCCGTTTGGGAGATGGTTTGCGCCGAGTATTTCAGCAAGTGCAGAGCCGCGCGGCCCAAATCGCAAGGTTTCGGCGCTGGCTGCTTTATGTACTGGTTATTTTGCCGTGTGTAAATATGATGGACCCCTTCAAGTGCTGGTTCCCTGTGAGGCCTGCCCACTGCTTCTCGCCGCCTAGCCTCACTTAGGCTGCACAGAGGCAGTCATCGACTTGGAGATGCCGGCGCAACTGCCTGTCTTGCCAAAGGCTATGACTCGGCAGAGCGTGCAGATGGGCGCTGCTCAGCTGTGTACCTGATGTGTTGGCTTTCGTGTCGTTGGGTCAACATGAGGTCGGTCATGGTCAGCCTTGTTGTCCGTGAGTGTGGCCGCCAAAGATCCACTTCTCACTAGCCTGCCGACATCATCAGCCTTGATGAATCTGAATTAATCAACTGGGGTTCTCCCATCTTCGATAGGATGACTTGGATCCCCGGTGCATTAGCATGATTCTGCAGCTTTTGTTTCTGTCCTGATCCCCTTTACATTGCCCGGTGCGACCGTTTCACACTGCCCAAGCTTGGGGCACAAACTGCCTCCTGCATTCTCCGGCGTATTTCCGAGGTAGGCTACCTCATCCAGAACGACGAGAGGTTCAGGCGTGTCTGTGGGATTGAGCAGGCTTTCTATCCATCCCCTCGGAAGGTTTCAGCGTAGCCTTTCAGAGCTTGCAAGATACGGATCATTGCGGAATCATGTGGGCCTGGAGAGGCTTCGTGTACTTAGCCACGCTGCCCAAAAGCCTACAATGTATGTGCGCACCATGGCGTCTGAGTTAGAAGGAAAACCTATTGATCCTAGGCATGTGGTGCAGTTGATCGGCCCGCCGACGGGAATCTTGGAGCTGCTGGGCAAGGGGAGGCTCGGAGCTGCTTGCAAACGGAGTCGTAGCCAGGATCCTCGCAGATGGTTAAAGAGCTTCCACCTGCGAATCTTTAAGTGAGCGGCAAAGGAGGGTTTCCAAGACCCTTGGCTGTGATGGATTCGGTATGATTCGATTCAGGCCGGATCCCTTCACGACTTTGGTGCAGACGGCTGCTCAGAAGCAATGGACGAAATGACTTCAATCCTCACTGGGGGACTGGTATTGGGGTGTTGGCAACCACGGCTGGTGTTGAATACTGGTTATCAACGCTGTGGAAAATGGTGGGCCGAAGTATTCTCAAAGTTCGTCCACAGGACCTCTGCCTGTCCATCTTCTTGGCATATGCGCAATGGAACCATGGACAGGGATGTCAGGACTTTTTGCCTGTTCATCGGCATAGCTTGGGCACACTGCAAGTATTCATAATAACCTTCCGCCTCTTCACCCTATTGTCATTTCGTTCTGGAAACATCTCGTTATATATTAGCACTACCCAATAGGTGCTTATACAGGCGGTTGTTTCTCTCCGAGTGCAGTGAGTGCAGTGTGTCCAATTTCCATGCGGCTCGCCAGTGCCCAGGCCGATCCTTCGAAAAAAAGTGACCCACTCGTTGCAGGTTTGCCACCAGCAGCTCAGCGTCAAGGTTTGCCAGGCCATGTTCCAGCGACTCCTCGGCCTTTGCGGCAACCGGGCGCCTAGGTTCAAGTCTGAGCACGCAGACTGGTATGTGACAGCACGCACTGCTTTGCAGCAGACTGGGTGTTTTGCATTGGTTCCGGGACATGCTTTGAGGACACCAAAGTGCTGCACCCGCAGCGTGTGCTAGCGGAGTCCGCAGATAAGCCGCTGGGATTGACAGTACTGTGGCCAGGGGATTCGACAAACTGAGATAA